TAATGAGTGTCGGATTGCGAGCAGTATGTGCGAGTATAACGAGTGACGGAGTATGACGGGTGAACAAATGGTAATATTTCGCAATGCAACTAAGAACTAAGAGAATATTCTGGGTGATCTGCAGAGTTGGGAAACTGCTCCTAACTACTGGATGATGATTGCTACGGGTCACTACAGAGTATTTTTAAGTAAGTACATAGAAATTTGGAATACTACAGGTGAAGATAGTAGCGATATATTTCGGGTCCGATGTCCTATGTAATAAGACACGAGGTGCTGCGGACATGTAATAACGCGGTCCAAATGTCAGAAAACATGCATGGGAATAACTACGCACCTAGTGAGGCTAGTTTGGATGGACAGGACACGGGATGGACAAGTGCGTGCGAAGTGTGATCAGCCAATGCGATGTCCGAAGGTCTGATGTGAAGTGGCTCGGACATGTGCGCGTATGTTTTGGATGTTCACATGAGTATGAAAAACTGTGGTTCCGAGCCCAGCGCCATGACCATCGCTACAGTGCACTCAAGATCTGTGAGTTCTTCACCATGGGACTTGGTGCAGATCACCGCTGTAGAGATTTGCACTATTGCAGGTCTGCAACGAGTTATACTTCAGTGCATACCACCTGGGTTCGCAGCACCAACTTGCAGCATCATTCCCTAGCCTTTTCCCAGCTATTTCCATATCGGGTGACACTTTCCCGTGCGCGGGACCCTCGCACGATGTTCTCACGCTTGTGCATCACTCGCTTTCCCGCGCTTTCATCACCCTATCATCCAGGAGCATCCACCCACTGTCCAGCAAGTCTCCCTGGTATGTATTTTCGCTTTTATTCAATATGGCAACATATTAGAGCATGGACCCTGACTTACATACCTTATTACATACATTATCTCACACTCAGCTCACTTAGCAAGACACATATATAGGTCCGCATTTTTCACCCTTACCACATTACACACTCCTTACCTTAGTGGAGTTTCCCTCATGATGTCCATAGCCAGATTCAGAATTTATTAGCAGTCTTTTGTTTTCATTGAGCCCTCATTTATTGCTCATTGCATTTTGCATTTTGCATTCCTGCGCCTTGCACACACATTGCTCGCTTCGCACAGCCGCTGCGCAACTGTGGATTTGTCTTCTTTGCTTCCCCTTGGATCAAATATGCTTGTCCCTGCAAGCATAACAGACTAGGTGTCGCACTGATCACTATATCAGCTTCTTGTGTCCCTCCCCTTCCATTTACCATTTGACCTAGAGCTGAGTTGATTCACCTTCACCGCATCCTTCAGTTTACATATGAGAGTGCGACCTGACATAGCATGAGTCAATGAGCTTTGAGTAGCAGAAGACTTTGAAGCTTACCAAACATTGTGACCTTCTTCCAGTTCCAGTCACTAAAATTATCATCTACAGTCATTGACCATCATTTGAGTTCGAAATTTTCAGATGTCTACCACAACACAACCTGACACAATCTCAAAAATTGCTAATCTACTTCAAACAAAATTTTGAAGAACATCAAACAAGACGTTATTCTGCAATGAAAAGTGTGTAAATCTTGTGTTATCATATGTTCATCATCATTTGAGTTCACCCAAAAAGGCAGATTTATTCCCTAGTCACGCAGATTAATCTTCTTCCTCGCTATCATCTGACTCATCCTCTTCCTCATCAATGTGGGCAAGTGCCGGCTTTGGGAGTGTGGCCTCGAGTCTCCCAAGCTTCAGTTTGACATGTGTCATGTGTTGTCTCTCCAACTTTGCCTTTGCTTGCTCTTCCTCCCACTGCCTCAACTCCTCCTTATATAATCATGTTCCTGTTTATCGGATCTTGCTTATTTTGCTTCGGTGACGCTGATAAGATACTATTGAGACACTCTGCACTGGCAACATTCTGGCAACACACACTCATCAGCTCCCTTGTGGAATAGAACAGTGATGTGCTTGAAGGTTGTTTGCAGGTATTTCTTCAATTTACAAATCCGATTCTAGTTGTTTTGCTTTCAGGGATGCTTAATAGTGAAAATTTCGCAACAAAACATACCATCGCACATTTGTTCAAGGTCTTTTATACCTATCATTACTGCCAATATGTAGTTAGGCACATAACTCGTATGATAGAACAAAAATGTTACATGGGATAGTATCAAATTCAAGTGTCATACAAGGTAAACGCAAATGATGGTGAAAACTCAAATGATGGTCAATGACTGTAATGTATCATGACAAGAGCCTGGACCCATCTCTTTAGTGCTTGTAGCTATCTGGTTGATATTTGCCCAACCTCTTTCCAGTGCTTCTCCATCTGTGCGACCCACACCTTTGAATAGTTAAATGAAAATTGAGTCTGACAAGTATGGTGGATCTTTGGTGACGGTTCAATTTGCTGTCATGCCACATACATTTTTCATAGTCTGCTGTATTTATTATTCACACACAATAATATAAAATTATGTCAGCATGTTACAGCAGACATTGCCAAAACCTTCGTGCTCACTATGGGTAACAACGAGCTCAACCACTGCAGCATTTCATCACTTGATGTCCAGTGTATATGGTGCTAGTCTCAAATATGTCCAATGGCAGTGAGCATGTCCATTGGCATTCCTCTCTATGTGTTAGAAATGCAACATTGTCAATTTGTCATCCCTCTCATCTCTTTTCATTTTTTGTTCTTAATATCCTGGACCCTATGCTTACTTTCTAGGCTGAAGACAGTGTGTGATGATCCAAGAGCATCACGGCCTCATGCATGATGATGCTACATGTCACTCTGTGATTGTCACACATAAACAGGCCTGAAGTGCAGGATTTGGTCAGAGTGAGAAAATGATATCCAAAGAGAGAGTTTGCTTCAAGAGATGCCAAAGTAAAATCAGTGTTTGGGGGGGGTAATTTGGGTTTGCATTGCAGTGGATGTATCCACATTATCTTGGAAGTCTCAGTGTAAGCTTGACCCAGATCTTAATCCAAGGCAGTATGTACTGACAGGGCCACATGACCTGCTGATATACTGTGAAGTTGGAATCAAGTGACTAAATCTTAAGTGATTGTGAGACTACTAAAAGAGACTGGAGAAGATGAGAAATCAAATGCCAAATCCCTCAAGTCTGAGTCAGCCAAATCTTCACTCGAGCTTTTGGATGAACTCATTGATGATTCACTCAAGCTAGACTCACTGCTCAGGTCATTGTCAGGTGGACCTAATGCCTGGTGAGTTCTTTTGTCGGGTTTTCTCGAGGACACTCGACCTAATGCCTGCCTGATGTAGCTTTCAGCCATTACTTGATGTACCAGCTGCATGGTGTGAGGGGTATTACTACATCCTCTCATCTGAGTCAAGTACTTCTCCGTTGGTTCAACAATGAGTTTAACCTGCTTGGGGCGAGCTGCAGAAGCTGTACTATCACCAGTAGGTGCTTTTTCCTTAGTCAGCTCTTTGTTGAGCTTTCTATTTAGCTCGTGGATCTTATTTTCATATTTCCTCTCCATTTGTGCTTCTGTGGCCCTTACGGCCTCTATGGCTCGTTCCTGCACAAGGCACTCAATCTCTTCCTTGGAGATCTCGATGCTCCTAGGTGGGGCCCTTTCGGTACTAGTGTCACCCAGGTCAGTTCCTTCAGCCTCGGTGGCTGACTTGGCAGCCCTCTAGGCCTTAAATGCAGCATGCTAGGCATCTGCATTCAACTCTTCCTCATTGAGGCCAGCTGCTGCCCACTCTCTGGGGTCTATAGCCTTGCCTTTCAAGGGTCCCACATCTGTTGATGCTGCATACTCATTTCCTGCATGTGAGTCTACCATTGACTGTCATTGGTTCACTTGTTCACGCTCATCATCTGTCAGGCGACGTTTTGCCTTGTGAATGATGGTTTGTTGTGCCTCAGTCAAATGGTGAGATGTCTCACTGTCATTTCTTACTATTGCAGGTTTGTTACCCTCATGGCGATGCTTTCGTTGCACCATGACCCATGGATGACCACTGTCATTGGACTCATCACTTTTGGAGTTTGGGCCCACTACACCAGGAGCAGGAGGTAAGGTAATATTACTTAGTATTTCTTTAACATCTTCTAAAGAGTTTTCTTCATATACAGGGGTATTATCGGCTACCAGGCTTTTCCCGTCGGTCATCTCCTTGGGGGCACACAGCCCAAACCAAGGGTTTCTCATCTGAATGACATTGCTATGCAAACATACTGTTCATAGGGCGGGGTTGTCTGATTTAGCCACTATATGTGGGGCTAGGTCAGGGGTATCATTGAAGGGAGATGAAGGCATTGTGCCTGGGGGTCTTGGTGTTGGGAAGATTGTCCATGCGCGTTGGTTGATGGGTCATAGTTCGTAGTTTACAGTTGTCATGTTGCTGTTGAATGGAATCTTGTTTGTTGTTTGCCGACTCATCGCCAGAGGTTGGCCAGACCTAGGTTTTGAGAATGTCAGTGGGATATGTTTTAGATTAAGCTAGTTGAAGGTGAAAAAATATGTGGCGACAGCTTGAAGTGGGAACACTTGAGGTGAAGACACAATAGCAAACACTTAGATGATCAAGCAATGTCACCAGGTAATAGCTTAGTTGCAAGAACACCAACTGTACATATCTAACTACTGGGTCTTTAATAGGCTTTTCTATAAGGTAACACGTGAAATAAGTAGGGTAAAGGGTATGGAGGCACAGGGCACCATAATAACTTGGAACTGTAAAGTAGATTCAGAAAAATATAGGTGAAGTACAATAATCACATGGTATACTTGAGGGTTTAGGCTGAGTGGCCATGTAGATGCCACACTGCCCATGAAGGTTAAATACATCTGACAATGACACACCAGTGTGTCAATAGATCATAACTAAGTAACACAGGCATGTCAATATTATAGCTTTGGCAAATTTCACCTATGTAGGCTGCCTATCTATTCCTTTTCATGTGGTCTACAATTATGATACATATTATTAATATTATACATTAAATAAAGCTAGATAAATCTTTGTCAAAGTCTACTGAATTACCTTATGCAAGAGTAATCACTTGGAGAGAAAGTTTTTACACACCTTTTGACAGTATGGTAGATCCAGTGCAGACTCCAAACCAATCGGCGGTGTGTAGAGTGCCTTAATCCTAGTGTACAAATACAACCATATAAAGTTTTTCCAACATAATTCCGACTTTTTGTTGGGCTCTAACACACCTAGCCGACTGGCACAACTTGCTGTGGCGCAAGATTATGTTCTGTTTGTCTCACCATAAAATCTCAATCCTCCGGCGCTTACGGAAGTCAAGATGTCAGTAATGAATATTAATATTAATTCTTTTGAGATATGTGTCGATATACATCATTCTTTGCACTAGTAGTGTCATGTCGGCTTTGCGATATGAAGTCCCCACCTTGGATGATCTCAAGATGCTCACTGAAACTTCGTTTGGATTCACTCCATGTACCTGGCAGCTCAACTCGGCTCTATCTCAGCTTCAGAAAAAAGATGTCTTCACCATCTCACCTACTGGCTCCGGCAAGACTTTGACATTCTGGATTCCGATGCTCTGCAATGACGACAGAATCACCATTATCATCACACCGCTAAACATACTTGGTGACAAGAACGAGAACGATGTTTGTGCTATGGGTATCAGCGCTATGAACTTGACAGCCACTACTGCGACAGACCAGGTTTTCAAGGTCAGTTCTCGTTAATTAGGACTCGGAATATCAATCAAACCCTCACCTCTTCAACAGGATATCGAGGACCTCAGATACCAAGTGATCAGTGTGAGTCCAGAGCGTATCCTCCAAGACCAACACTTTTGGATGCTGTGGAAGTCAAAAAAATTCACCGGAAAGTTGTTTAACATTACCATAGATGAGGGGCACTGCATCAGCGAGTGGGGAGATGGATTCCATCCCCTTTACAATGAACTGGGTGTTCTGTGGTGGCTACTGCCACCGCATGTTGGATTTCATGTTGCATCAGCAACAATGCCTCTGCACATACTCCATGACGTGCAAACAAAGCTGCGGATGAATGTCAACAGGGTGGTCAAGATTCAGTGTTCGAATGACTGACCAAATATCCATTTGATGGTTGTGCCGATGCTTTACCCCAAAAACTGCTTCCACGATTTGGATTGTGTCCTCAATTTCGATGCTGGCCCGCCAAAGAAGTTCATGGTTTTCGTCAATTCTCGACGAATTGCTGAGCACGCTGTCGAACACTGCTGGACTCAATTGCTGGCTCACCTTCGCAACAAAATAGTTTGGTTCCATTCGGGAATGATGATGGAGTTTCGAACCGAGATCATCGCAAAGCTCTGTAAAGGTGAAATATGGGGAATATTTTGTACGGATGTGGCAGGGATGGTAAAGTCATTATTTTTAATCTTCGTAATGACGGAGACTCACGGTTCAGAGACTCATGGTTTACATAAATTTAGGGCCTCGACCTTTGAGATATTCAGTTGGTTATCCAGTGGGGCTACACTGGATCACTGTGTGCACTTATGCAGCATTTAGGATGTGCTGCCCGTGACCCTGCGGTGACTGCAATAGCAATGTACTTTGTTGAGCAAGAGTATTTTGACACCTACAAAGGCAAATGGAGGCGAACTGCAGACTCGTCGAAAAAGCAGTGCCTGCAAAAGAGTGCAAAGGTTGTCAGAAGTGGCCATGGTAATACAACTGAGAGGTTGCATGATGAGAACGAAGGGAGTACTGATGGAGATAGCACGGATGATGACAATATCAATGACACAGACAGTAGAATTGGCATTGGGAACAACACGGAAGGACTAGGAGTCTCACAAATACTTCCCACCAGCCTTGACAATGGGGAGTATGAGACAGTCGCAATGGCAGCATTTATCAATGGACATCTACGTGGGTTCTGCCACAGGAGGGTCGCAGATGAATATTTTGATAACACTGCAGGTACTACCATTCAAATTGATTTAATGTTGCTGCTTACTGAATAAAACGAAGCGCAAGAATCACAAAATTGATGTTGTCATCGCTGCAGCCCAGACTGGTCGCACGTGTGCTGTGACACGTGCAGTGACACCACATTGAGTATCAACCTACTTCCAACACAAGCTCTCCCATCGCTGCGAGCAAAACGCAAGATCAGGATTCCCAACCACAAGATGACATCTGGCGAGCGCCAACTACGGGAGAAGTTGCGGGAGTGGCATGAACTTCAGATGGTGGAGGAAGGTCTTGACAGTGACGTCTTTTTTGGTCCTCAAGTCATCCTGTTGAACAAAACTCTCGATCAGATTGGCGACTTAGCATACGCGCTCAAGCTTCCTGATACCACTTCCCTCTGTCAGCAAACTGACTGGTGCTACGCAAATGAGTACGGCACCAAAATCATCGACATAGTCCTGGCGTGTATACCTGCCCATCCAACACCAGCACTAGCACCCTCAACATGACAAAATGAGTCAACACCTGGTCCACCTCAGCCTGCAGCTCCGTCAAAATGGCAGAATCATTGTGGGGCATGTCTAGGAATGGGGCACAATGGTATGTTTCCTGACAATGTTCTACTGTCACTGACCGTTAACCATTTCTGTCACTCCACAGCAAGAAATCGACTCTGCCCAAAGTATGGCACCAAAAGCCACCAGTCAAAATCCAACAGTGAAAACATTCCTCCTGTCCCTGCCACCGCTCTCCCAACACCGTCCGCTACTCTAAACGGCGAAAACATTCCTCCTGTCCCTCCCACTGCTCTCCCAACACCGTCCGCTACTCTAGTTCTAACATCCTTGGACATGTTTTCATCTTCCAATATGAGGTCAGTCTATCAAATCTTCTGGTTCTATGTCATCAGTCTCTGCTTCATCTGCCATACTGACTTTTCTCTCTTGCATTAGTGTCATGCCGGCGGCTACTTGATCGGGAATGCTGCACATTGCTGACTGGCCAGGTTTGAACATATGTGAGTGCTTTTCTTTCACGCGTGATGCTAGGCGCTGAATTGTTTTTGTCATGTCAGGTTGTGTGTGTCGGATTGTGCAATGAGTTAAATTGTTACAATAACATTTACTCCTATTTCATTTTTCTGTTCCTTGTAACCATACCGCCGATTCTAGACTCATCTAGACTCGGCTATTCTCTTATCAAGCGGGCTGTCCGCACTTCTCTTCTTTCTGATTGTAACATAGATACTATCTTGCGCCGCATGGCGGTTTCACCTATCTTTGCTATCTTGATAGGGTGTACTCTTTTTCCTATCTCTGTTACTTTCTTGTCGCGGCTACGCCGCTTCCTTTTACCTATATAAACCCCATGTACCATAGATGTATTCCTTAACTTAATCTACTGGGTTTTCCCCTTGAAACCTGATCTACTAAGGTCTCCACCCTTAGTAGCCTGAACTCTGATTCTAAGACAGTCACTCACTGTCTTAGCCTGAAACCCTTGATTGCGGTAGAAGTGCTAAAACCACTCACCGCCTAGGCAGAAGTGCTAAAACCACTCGCCGCTGATCCTGCATAGAAGCCGCGGCTCGTGCAGTAGGAACCACCAGAAACCTTCCTTGTATTAGGAAGGCCGACGAACTGTTCGCCCGACAGGTCTATCTTGACCGGCAACAGCAGAACTATCCCAGTCGTAACAAAAGATTAAGTTCCTCACCCAGTACCTGTTTTCCAACAGTACTTTGACACCATTGATTCGATAACCGCGAACATCCTTGCCGCCGCATTCGGAAACATGTCGGGACATTCCGCCTCATCCAGTGCCCGCCGCCGCAGCAGCAGCAGCCTGCAGCCGCCCACAGACCAATTGAAATTAAGATCGGAACCCCACCGACCTTTGATGGCAACGAGAAGAACGCAAAAAGCTTTTTGCTCTCGGTCGCCGCCTACCTTGACATCAACAGTGAAATCTATGACACTGACAAGAAATGCATCATTTTCGCCACCTCTTTCATGAATGAAAAGACGGCATTGACCTGGAAGGAGGACTTCCTGACTCTAGCCCAAGACGCCACAAGGCTAGACAAGAATAAGCAACCCATCGGGTATGGAACGTGGGAAGACTTCAAGAAAGCTTTCCTCAAAGCATTCACCACGGGAGAAGCAGCCACCGAAGCGTGGATCAAGCTTAGGACCTTCAAGCAAGAAGGGTCCTTAGAAGAATACATCGCAGAGATTAGACATCTCTTCCAGTTGACCAGTCTCACTGAAGAAGGATCTAGAGTCCACTTCTTTACCGCCGGATTGAAATTCGGAATTGCCAATGCTATCTACAGAGCAGGCAATATCTCGAAGGACTTCGAAGGAATGGTCAACACGGCCAGAGAGATGGATAACGCCTATCAGCAGATCATTGCGCTGAGGCCCAAGAACCACAACCAGGGCCAGAAGAAGAAGAACCGGTTCGGACCTGAAAGGTACCAACCACGAGGAGACAGAGACTCCATGGAGGTCGACCGCCTCTCAGACAAAGAAAGGGCCGAACATATGAGAGCAGGCAAATGCTTCATATGCCACCAGACTGGCCACAGAGCCAATGATAGGGAACACCACCCAAAGGAGAAGAAACCGGCCCGTGAGGCCAAGCATAAAGAAGAAGAATCTGACGATGAAACTATGGATACCCGTAGGATGACTAAGAAGGGGGATTTTTAGAATGGAGGTCTGTATCGACGCCAGTCCCTCCCATTCCAGTTCGCACTGTACATCATGTTGGTAATAAAGAAGAGTTACGTGTCCCTGCCACTCTCCTCCCAACTAAACGTGCGAAACCAGTCGAAACCACTGTAGTCATCGATTCCGGCGCCGCCGGATCATTCATCAGCACCGAATTCATCGACTATCACGGAATTCGGACCAAGAAACTCTCGAAACCCTTCACCATGGTCACCGCCGACGGTAGTGACTGCCGTGGCGGGAAGATTAGAGAATATGTCGAACTCGGCATCAAGATTGACAAGCGGGTCATGTATGGAAAATTCAACGTGACCAAGCTTCGAACCAAGGACAACATTCTCCTTGGATTCCCCTGGCTGAAAGCCATGAACCCAGACATCAACTGGGCAGAAAACTGTCTCACCCTCAACGAGACCCCAAGATCCAGAGAAGTAGAACTCTGGATAGATCAAGAAAGGAAGGACGCAGGCTTCAAACCGCTCTTCAAACCGAAGCCTTACCCCAGGAAGGCCCCCAAGAATATCCTGCACCCCAAGAAGGTGCCTATCAAAGAACCAGCGACCCCCAAGAAGGCGCTGAACCCCGAACCCATGACTTCAAGAAAAGTCTCCGTTGTCTCTGAGCCTACCCGCCAGAGGAAAGAAGAATTCCGTGCCTCCATCGAGGAGATCCCCGATGAAGATGAACCCATCCCGTACTTGAACCCTGACCCAGACGAAGAAGATGAGGGATTAGAAATCCCGAACTTTGATCAGAAGTATGACGCTTGGATAAAGGATAACTTCGCACCGAAAGTCGAAGAATTGGCCTCCTTTTCCCTCACCAACGATGAATTCCTCATTGAATACTCCCAGGACGCCACCGCAGTACGCCTGATAGAGAATTTGGATTTGGACACCCCCCTGACTCGTGACGGTACCTCGGCATTTGAAACCAAGAAAATGGCAAAGCCCCCCTCACTTCCCGAATATCTGAAGACCTAGTAACAAGTCTCAGGAATTAGCCATGGAAGGTGAGATTGAGAAGAAAAAGAAGACATTCGAAGAATTAGTTCCCTTCTTATCTTCACGACTTCGCCGACCTTTTTGCCAAAGACGGTCTTAACTCTATGCCACCTCACCGACCTGGTATTGATCCACAGGATTGAAACCAAACCTGGATATATCCCCAAATCCTCCAAGCTCTACCCCTTATCTGAGAAAGAAAGGGTCGCGGTCAAAGCATTCATTGATGAACACGTGAAAAAGGAATTCATCTCTCCCTCGAAATCCCCTCAGTCAAGCGGCTTCTTCTTCGTTGGAAAGAAAGACGGATCCTTACGGCCTTGTCAAGACTACCGGTATATTAATGAATGGACAATCAAGAACGCGTACCCCCTTCCCCTCATCCCGCCACTCTTAGCAAAACTTCGCGACGCAAAGTACTTTACCAAGATGGACGTCCGGTCTGGATATAACAACATTCGGATTCACCCCGAAGATAGATGGAAGGCAGCATTTACAACTGAATTCGGACTCTTTGAGCCGAATGTCATGTTCTTTGGTCTTTGCAATTCACCCGGTACTTTCCAGGCCTATATGAACCAGACATTCCAGCAGGAACTGAATGAAGGATGGCTCATCGTCTACATGGATGACATCCTGATATTTTCAAGAAATCTTGAAGAACATCACGAACGAACTCGCCGAATACTAGACATTCTCAGAAAAGAGAAACTATTCCTGAAAGCGGAGAAATGCTTATTCGATGTACAAGAAGTCGACTACCTCGGAATGATCATCAGACCTGGACAAATCGCAATGGACCCTACTAAGCTTAAGGGCATCGCAGATTGGCCGACACCGAAAACCGTCACCGATGTACGATCTTTCCTCGGATTTTGCAACTTCTATCGGCATTTCATCCCCACTTTTCTGACATCGCGAAACCCCTGAACAACCTGACGAAGAAGACCCAGCCATTCTGCTGGACTGAAGTAGAAGAAAACAGCTTCCAAGCACTCAGAAAGTGCTTTATGACGGAACCTGTCTTAAGAAACCCCGATCCTGCAAAGCAATTCGCTATTGCAACAGACGCTTCCCTAGTAGCAACTGGAGCAGTGCTACTTCAGACTGACTGAAAACGGCGCTTACCACCCCTGCGCCTATCTTTCTGCATCTCTCAATGCAGCAGAACGAAACTATCAGATTTATGATAGAGAACTACTGGCCGTCATCCGTGCTTTGACAGCATGGAGACATTATCTCGAAGGACACGGTCACCCCGTCATTGTATTCACAGATCATATGAACCTCCTCTATTTCAGATCTGCTCAACAATTGACCCGTCGCCAAGCACGCTGGCAGCTCACTCTGAATGAATTCGACCTCGAATTTCATCATGTAGCTGGAACCAAGCTCGCTGCCCCTGACGCTCTATCCCGCCGTCCCTGATCACCATCCCACCGAGACCGATAACCAGGACGTTATCCTATTACCTGATGATATGTTTGTTCGACTCATCGACATCGAACTAGAAACGGCTCTGAAAGCCGATGATCCTACGGCGGATCCCATCATCAAGACCGCCAGTGACGCATTAGATGGGCTATGCTTGCCCCCCATGAAGTCGGCATTATCCGACTGGAAATTCGATAACGGTATCTTGCAGTACAAGAACCGTGCCTACGCACCCCCCGCTACCCGAAGCCGTATCTTGCAGCTTCACCATGATCACCCGACCGCCGGACACCCCGGCAGATTCAAAACAGAAGAACTAGTCAAACGTGACTATTGGTGGCCCCAGATGGGCACCTTTATTAGGAAATATGTCGAAGGATGTGCCACGTGTCAGCAGATGAAATCTGACACTCACCCCACTACTCCTCCCCTGAAACCGATCAGCTCTTCCGGTGTACGCCCCTTTTCCCAGCTCTCCGTTGATCTAATCACCGACCTCCCCGAGAGCGGTGGTTATGATTCTATGATGGTCGTGGTAGACCACGGACTTACAAAGGGGGTAATTATTTCACCTTGCAAGAAGAACATCACCTCCGAAGGAGTAGCGCAACTATTTTTCAAGAAAGTTTTCCTACGCTTTGGGCTCCATGACAAGCTCATTTCAGATCGCGGACCGCAGTTCGCATCGAAGTTCTCCAAAGAACTCGGAAGATTACTAGACTATGAAGTTGCCCTATCCACCGCATATCACCCTCAGACCGACGGACAGACAGAAAGGTTGAACCAGGAGATTGAACCTACCTTCGGATCTACTGCCGATCGAACCCTGAAGCCTGGGTACAGCATCTACCTATGGCAGAATTCGTGCATAACCACCGAAAGCACGATGCACGGAACGCATCACCGTTCTTCCTGATGATGGGCTATGAGCCTAGAGGCATCCCCTACGCCTTTCCCCCTACCGACATCCCCGCGGCCGAGGACCGCGTTACCAACCTCCAGAAAATGAGAGAAGAAGCGGTGTCTTGCCACAACATCGCTATGCAACGAATGGCCGAAAGGACGCACAGGAAGAAGTATGAACCATGGAAGATTGGAGATAAGGTCTGGTTGTCAGCGGAGCATTTATTGATGCACCTACCCTCGAAGAAGCTGGCGCCAAAGCGGCACGGCCCCTTTACCATTACCAAGGTGCTATCTCCCATCACCTTCACACTCCAGCTCCCGGAACAATGGAAAGTCCACCCCACGTTCCATGCATCTGAACTATCCTCCTATCGGGAGACAGAGGTCCACGGCCCGAATTTCATTGAACCCTCACCTGACATCATTAATGGGGTTGAGGAGTACGAAGTAGAAGCGATCCTCGCACACAAAGGAACAGCGGCACGCCGTCGCTATCTAGTATCCTGGAAAGGATACTCATCTGCCAGCAACGAATGGGTCAAAGAAGACTGACCTAGAAAATTCCCAGACGCTTCTCAAAGCGTATAAGAAGAGAACGAAATTGGCTTGAAGGACAGAAAAACCCAAGCAACCCAGTCAAAGAAAACATGTCCACTGCCTCCTTCCACTCTTACCCTTGACTCCGCCGAACTCCAAGAACATTTCGTCCCCATCTCCCAGACATGAACGATTCAGTACTAGATGAACAATCCTCCCTTGCATCCTCCATCTCCGACTCCTCATCGTCAGAGGATACCGACGTATCACTTTCTTCCTCTCTATATTTCACCGTCATTGATCGTATTGAGGGAGACGCCCTCCTTGAAGCAACGCTACTATCTGAGCAACACGCACTCGAGCTGGAAAGAAAGCTCGCCGAACGCCCAGCAAGGAGCGCAGCGATAATTGCTGCCGTTATTAACATCATCAGAACCACTCGTCTTATTGAACTATCCGCAAACCGAATTCCCCTCGCCTCTGCGCAGGAAGCCCATGAAGTCATCCAGTGCCAAAGGCGCATCAGATCGATTGCGCTTCAGCTTCTCCCTGATAGCCTTAAGCCTGACCTGCTATCAGTTATACACATCGTTGCCAACCGAACCGCGACTGAAGTCGCTCGTCCGCCTTCTCCTCCTCGTCCTCTCTCCCATCATCAGTCACCAGATCGTGACCCGTCTCCCGTCCCTCATCCTATCAGAGCGCCGCAACCTCAGGTTGCCACTAGAGGAAGAAAACCTACTGGATACCAGATCGCTCGAAGGCGCTGCATGAGAGCAGACAAACAGAAAGAACGAGAGGTCATCGACCTTACTTCTCCGTCCCCACCTCCTCGCATCTCCACAAAGAAGCCAGGCTTTGACAACGTCAAATGCCGCATATGCAAAGAATACGGGCACCGCCATAAGAACTGCCCTCAGTACTCCTGCGTGGTATGCCACGTCCATCGCCCCCGGACACCTCTCGGTCTATTGCAAAGACCTTAGAGGGAACCTACCCACTTCCGATTGTCTATACAGATGACGGATTCTATGAAGCCCTCCGCAATTGGGAGGCAGACCAGAGAGCATTCTATGAGCAAGAATGCGAACAAGCCGATGAAGATTATCGCAACCAACCAAGCTCCTCTACGGACCTTGATGACTACAACAACGCTGAAGCAGACCCCGTCTACTATGACGACGCTAGAATGGATTGAAGTCGGAGACTTCAACGGTTACACCGGGGTAATGTTACAATAACATTTACTCCTATTTCATTTTTCTGTTCCTTGTAACCATGCCGCCGATTCTAGACTCATCTAGACTCGGCTATTCTCTTATCAAGCGGGCTGTCCGCACTTCTCTTCTTTCTGATTGTAACATAGATACTATCTTGCGCCGCATGGCGGTTTCACCTATCTTTGCTATCTTGATAGGTTGTACTCTTTTTCCTATCTCTGTTACTTTCTTGTCGCGGCTACGCCGTCTCCTTTTACCTATATAAACCCCATGTACCATAGATGTATTCCTTAACTTAATCTACTGGGTTTTCCCCTTGAAACCTGATCTACTAAGGTCTCCACCCTTAGTAGCCTGAACTCTGATTCTAAGGCAGTCACTCACTGTCTTAGCCTGAAACCCTTGATTGCGGTAGAAGTGCTAAAACCACTCACCGCCTAGGCAGAAGTGCTAAAACCACTCGCCGCTGATCCTGCATAGAAGCCGCGGCTCGTGCAGTAGGAACCACCAGAAACCTTCCTTGTATTAGGAAGGCCGACGAACTGTTCGCCCGACAGGTCTATCTTGACCGGCAACAGCAGAACTATCCCAGTCGTAACAGTGCAATGAGTTAAATGGAATGTGTTCTCCACAGTGACATGACAGTTACGATAGACTTCAATAAGAGGCGACTGCTTGATAATGTGATTGATTGTGCGATTGGGTCCTGTTCCAGCAAATATAACCTATCATACAGTCAAATCTTGTGTCTGGCCGTGTGCGCCATGTCAATCAATCACTGACTTTTGTATACAAGTTGTTTCTCTCTACCAACCAGTCAACTGGACAGAAGGACAAGGGTTTTCCCATCGGATTACATAATAAGTTCATCCGGATTATGTTTCTGCTCGTCTGTAACGTTGATCTCCTGCCCTTAGTAGACTCTGCAAGTTACACACCTCAGCTCGATGGGGTAGTTATATCGAAGGTTGGTCAGGAAGTGCAGGATCTGTATCGCATATTTATGCTTCCCTGTGGCCTTGAACAGGTATATCCATGGCAGAAACGAAGCCTCCACTCGACCAATATCTCCGGCATTCATTGCTTGACATAGGTCAACGTACAGCAATCTGTCTCGATTTCGAAGGACTTGGTTTTCAAAATGCCTGTCCCATTGTTCCTTGGGCTTCTCATGTGTGTGGTCGAGTGTATCTGTGCGTGCAACATACTTCTCCACGATCGTGTGTGATATACTTACAATAGTATCCCAGGATGGTTTCGAAGCTGTGAACAATTCCAGGGTCGTCCACTCGCGGTTTTGGCTCTGCGCTTCAAGTCGCCAGCAGTCAAGCATTGATGCTTGAAGGTCGTGATGTATGACTTCATGCATACGTCGAAATCCAGGCTTGGTAACCATCTTCTTGGTTTCATCTGGTCGCAAGTACCTCACTGACTGGAACAGACTATTCTCATCATCTCTGCCTTCCTTTGGCTGAAGATATATACGCCAGAGCGCATCCGCACATGCCATCTTGTAATGGAAAAACCCAGGAAGAAAAACAACATATTGTAAGCGGTTTTTTGGTGTCATTTCAATTCTCCTGCTGTTGCCAACAGTGTCCAGCCTTTCCTTTGTCAAAAGGTCACCATGGACAAGGAGTACGTGATCTGACATGTCTATGTCATGGTCCTTGTTGAAGTCATCGCTATTTTGATCTCCAATCCCCCCTTGACGAAGTAAGTTTTCCATCACTTCAATGTTTCCATCTGTTGTTGACTGTTTGATGTTCATGGCCCAGCAAGGTACCTGCTCAGTCTTGTGCAAGGGTATGCGGTCCACCGGTGCTGGCTCGCACAACTCCTTCTCAAAATGTCGAAAATGTCGGCCATGGTGGACTAGGATCTCCCGAACATGCCACGCAAATGCTTCTTGCCGTGGACTAGGTATCATTGGGTTTGGCTGTTGGTTGTAAGTGTCATCTTTATGCAGCCACATCATAGATTTAAGTTCGATAAACAGAGGATGTGGTGGGTTGAGAGGGAGGGTTGGATTGTGAGGGTTTCATTCCCACATCCACTGGGAACAGCGCAACTGGTTGGCGCTGTTCACGCCAAACAGTGGTATGACAGTCGCAGAGGTTGCACTGACAAAATTTGAACGGTGCTTGAGCGTTGGCTGATCAGTTTTGAAGTCAATATCAAAGTTATCGTAAGCAAATGCTGACTGTAGTGATCAAACTGCGTGTCTTATTCTAGCTGATGTCTGGTTTGATACAGATTGGACAGCACTGTGGATTGAAGAAATGCTGATGGACAGACCGGCATGAGCAAGTGTTTCGATGACTTTCTCTGGGACCGAGGTCGAGTGATAAAAGAACCCAAGGATGCCTTGAAGGTAATTGCACCTCTCATTTGAGTTCTGTAGGAATATACTGATGCAGACAACTGCCTTCTGTAGCAAAATTGTTAACTCAAACGATTGCATATTGATTGACCCAGACTCACAATGGCCATTAGCGCAGCATTCCTTTCTGCTGCCCATACCTGGTTTTTTTTGGGTGTCTTCTTTGTATTCCCCCCACCGTCGCCATCGTCACTTGCATAGATGTTGCACTCTTCCAACCTTCAGTTTCATGACCACCAAACTCGCCAAGATCCATCTCTGCCTCTGAACCAAGGCTACTTGCCATGCCATCAAGATTTATCATGGCACGACGGCGGTCCTGATGGCTGTCGAGGAGAGCGCTGATGAGGCCCCACAACAATGGTGTTACCATACACATTTTTGTTGCCATCATCTCCATAAATTTGCCTTCGAGCTGCTCGACCGTTGCAGCACTTGCCTTGAAACATAGCCCGTGCCTCTCATGGCTCAAATCAGTAACTTCTCTGCAGATTATCTTTGTAACTGCTGCAATTGCCCATTTTGATACTGGCTCGTGGGCGCTCTCTTGATGATAGAGCAATGAACAGATGTTTCCAGCATTGCGAAGCAGAGACTCGCGCCCAATGTGATGATGTGGATCTTTGCTATTCAATAAACCCTGCACAAAGCCCGCAACAGACAATTGATTGGTCTGGAGGGCATGCAATATGTTGCTGATCGAATTAGCGGCTTGCATGGGGGGAAAAAGGCTCTATTCTGCAATCAGTACCAATCACACTTTGATCTATAGCTAGTGGCCTTGAGGTGCAGCATGTTCATCGTGCGGCGAATGTTTGCACCTCTTCGCTTAAACCCTTTTAATAATAATATTAGTTTATTCATTATTTTGCAGACACCGGTGGACGATTTCTCAAAAGGATTGAGATTTTATGGTGAGACAAACAGAACATAATCTTGCGCCACAGCAAGTTGTGCCAGTCGGCTAGGTGTGTTAGAGCCCAACAAAAAGTCGGAATTATGTCGGAAAAACTTTGTATGGTTGTATTGTATTCTACGCAAGATCGAGATTCGAGAACGCATGTAGAATGAGGTCTATGTGGTGACACAGCCTCTCGAGTTTTCTCACACTTCTTGTTTTGTACTTCTACCTAGTACTCACAATGCCTCCACTGCTTGATAACGCTCTCGTTTCGTCGCAAAAAAGAACAGTCAGACAATTTCGAATAATTATGCCAAGAATTCGAAATGATCCAAATTTCAATATCTGTCCGGACTATGCATCAATTAACTTTGCGAACACGAGAGCACAACTCATTAATGAGAACATCGATGAAGAACAAGCAATTCAATTACTCAGGAACATATGGCAAGCTAACAACGAGACAGACAAGGTTTTGTGGCAGCAGCAGTTAGCTGAGGACAGAGAGCAGCGGGAGCATGCACAAAGGATACAAGAAGACGAACAGGAACAAGTCGAACAAGAACGCATCGACGAAGAAGATGCCGCACACAAGGAGGAAAGGAAGAAGAATAAACATAAGTATATTCCAATCCTGGACACGGGCATTCCGGACGAACCATCTGTCACACCTTGCTCATACGTTCTTCGTAAACTAGACAAAGGTGAATACATCAAAATGTGGTATTTCACAAACGATGGGCTAGACGAGGCATCAATCAAGAAGACTATAGACGATGACGCCATGGTTCTATCAACCTTGGCGGATGGATCTACAGCCTGGATCTCTTCGGCATCAGCGCATAACGCTAAGTCGGTTATCAATGATGAGAACTTACCGTTCGAGGAATTTTGTCAAGCATGTCCTCGCTTTCTAGTTGCCTTGGAAGAAGCGAACTGGCCGGAAGATCGAATCAGAATGATGGCACTGTTCTGGAGGAACATACAAGTGCACAAGTATTGTTCTTTGCGAGATCCAATAGCGCAAAAGACTCTTTTGGTCTATCAGGCCGAGCAACGCAGATGCTGGCACGTAGCAGCGAAATCCTCGACAGGACCATATAACATTTCGACGGTTAATGAAAAAGTACTGGCAGACACGAGGGAGAAAGTATACTGGGAAGAACGGCTCAAGAGAGACAACGCACGCGATTATAAGGTCAGTTTATAAGTATATTCTATTACGATTCTATGTTCATCTTTATCACATTTTTTCTTTTGTCACGCACTTAAAAATTCATACAATACAACATGCAATCATCACGCTGTCGTATTGCTTCATGCCACATGCCACATGCCTCACACCTCATGCCTCGCATCACGCATCTCACGCTACATGCTATGCGACGCCTACGCTGCACAATATAATGCGCCGAACATGCGCTCAGTCAGAACAATGGGTTACGTCCGCATCCAGGCACAGAGACTCGAGAGAGTCGCATAAGCGTGCAGCTTCACCCGAGTACGGCAACAGAGCCAAAAGACCTAGGCAGGATTTTCATCCAGGCACAGGCGGAGGTGTTCTATCTGCCTGTGCCGTTTGTCTTGGATGAAACCCGCACAGGATTATCGAGTGCAAGGTGTCCAAACTCTGGGACGAATCGTACGATACTCTCTGCGCACAAATCGGCAAAATACTCACCATGCGAGACGGGAGACCAGTCTGCAGCGACTGGCAAAGAGTCAAAGGTTGTTCGGACACCACCCACGACCGAAGGCATTTTTGTTCAGGGTGCGGCAGCGCGTCCCATGGAGCTCAGGCTTGTCCTCGAGCTCAGAAAGCGTAAGGCAGTCACACCATACAATCCGGACAGGTTGGAACACAATCTCGTCAAAGCAGGTCTGCTCGACAGATATGCGCACATTCCTAACAGCCTTCGCAATGGTTTCATTCTTAACATCCCTAATATTAAAGTCACACAAATGCCGCCGAACAAAGAATCCATTGGTACATACGAGCGAGAGTTTCAGTCTATTATTCAAATGGAACTTAAGAAGGGAAGATATATTGGTCCGCTCAAAGCTGATGAAGTCCAGAATCTCATCGGACCTTTTCAGTCGTCTCCGTTCTCCATTATACCCAAACTGGGACGTCCTGGACGGTATCGTGTCATACAGAATTATTCATTTCCACACTCTACTTCTTCTAAATTTCCTAATGCATCAATCAACTCGTACATTAATCCAGATGATTTTCCTAGTACTTGGGGCACCTTTCACGTGCTCGCGCTCACAATCAGCTGGCTTCCACCAGGATCTCAGATCGCCATCAGGGACGTCTCCGAAGCCTATCGCACGATTCCAATTCACCATTCACAATGGCCAGGAGCCGTCGTGCGAATCTCGGAAGAACATTTCTGCATCGGCACGTGCATGTGCTTCGGCCTGCGACCATCAGCCAGAGCCTATGGTAACCTGGCAGACGCTTGTCTTGACATATTTCGCTCAAAGGGGATCGGGCCAGCGTCGAGATGGGTCGACGATCATGTTTTTATTCGCATTCTTACAGAACATATTGCAGCATATAACGAAAGGAGAAAGCAATGGCATAGAGACATTACAGAGAGAGGACAGCATCAGGATGGAGGAAGGATTTGGTTTGGGGGACACATATTCGAAGACGGAACCCTGGAGGAATTCAACGAGGATTGTCGATTCCCTATTGCAGACCTGTCAGGGGCGTCAGTTAGATCGGCAGAAGATGTTTGATTCTCGTGCAACCTATTGGACATCGACCAAGTCTCAGACGATATTGGTGTTCCGTGGGAATTTCTCAAAGACAAACCTTTCGCTTACTCGAATCCCTACATCGGGATCATTTGGGATCTGGCACAAGACAGAGTATATTTGGCGGAAGAAAAGAAACAAAAGTATCTCACAGCGATTGAGCAATGGTCGCAACGGAGCACGCACACTCTCCTCAACGTGCAGCAACTGTATGGTAAGCTCTTACATACTACACTCGTCGTTCCCAAGGGACGCGCATATCTTACGTCGCTGGAGGCAATGCTGCGCCTCATGATGGGTAAACCGTTTCTCCCACGGAGACCAGTTAAGAGCCTTGAGGGTGATCTCAACTGGTGGAAAACGCTGCTACAGAATCTGTTTGTCGGTCGTGTCATTCCCAAACCGCTTACATTATTCAATCCAGCCGCATATTCAGATGCCAGCACGAGCTTTGGAATTGCTATCGTCATTGGAGACAGATGGCGAGCATGGCGTTTGCGTGAAGGATGGCAGACACTCAAAGGACAAAAGGACATCGGTTGTGCCGAAGCGGTGGGGTTTGAATTCCTTACTCAGTACATTATCGCAATGGGAAGAAAGGAAAGGCACTTCAGAGTATTTGGGGACAACCAAGGAGTTATCGAGGGATGGAAGAACGGACGTAGTCAGAATACAGCGGTTAACACTGTCTTTCGACGAATCTTCGACCTTATCCACGATTCCGGATCGGCTTACTCGTTCCATCCAGTGTACATCGCAAGCAAACAGAACCCAGCAGATGGACCATCCAGAGGGATCTATAGCAGCGCCGAACTTCTTCTCCCCATTCTCCCCATCCCAGAAGCACTTAGACCCTTCCTCTCTGACACGAACACCAGTTACAACGAAGTGTTCAACCATGATACAGAAGGAAGTCTTAATGACGCCAATGATAGACCTGTTAGCATCGATTCCGGCACAAGCGACAGTGAAGAGATCCGATACAGCACAGATTCCCATTTCTTCATCTGCCAAGAGCAGCAGCAGGGCGAGGAATGAGTCCCGTTTCAAAGCCGCACTGCCTGAAGAACAAATCGTCAGACCGCAACCGTACAAAACAGGTTTAGTACCAATACCCTCACAGCTGCGCCCTCATTGTTTGGCACGGGACCGGCTTAAGCTCTGGTTTCCATTCACATCCAGAGTAGCTGCAGGACCGGACGGGAAACGTTTAGCCATAACCGAGGAGGATCTGGAGAGAGTATTGACAGTGATGAGCTTATCATGGGCGGTTGGAACAAGAGAATGTTACGGGGCAGGACTGTTGATATTCCACGTTTTTTGCGATGAGAGGAATGTCCCAGAAGATCAGCGTTGTCCCATAGACACGAAGACACTTCTAAACTTCGTGGCGAGTTGTGCAGGATCATACTCTGGAAGAACGCTAGGAAACTACGTATACGCGATCAAAGCTTGGCACACGCTCCATGGTCAACCATGGAATATACAGCAAGATCAGTTAAAAGCAGCATTAGACGGAGCCGCAGAACTCACTCCTTCCACATCCAAGCGTGAAAAACGAGCACCGTTTTCCATCAAATTAATCCTCGAAATTCGTTTGCACTTGGACTTAACAGCATCGCGTGACGCTGCAGTATACACATGTCTGACAAGCGCATTCTACGCACTATGTTGATTAGGCGAAATCACGGTCAAATCCATATCGGCATTTGATCCTAGAAAGCACGTCAAACGCTCAAACGTAGAGTTTGACATTGAAGATCGTAATCAATTTCGCGTAACCAAGATCTTCTTACCATGCACCAAAGCGGCCGCAGCAGGAGAGTCAGTACACTGGGCACAGCAAAACGATTTGACAGACCCCAAAGCGGCTCTCCTACATCACTTTGCAATCAATGATCCACCAATGGATGGACATCTATTCGCATGGAAACACGTCAAAGGATTCAGACCACTGACGCGCACCGAATTCTGGAAAAGAATCAGCGGCATATTGAAAAAGATTGGAATGGGGAACTTCAAAGGGCACGGTTTGCGCATAGGAGGGGTGCTAGAATATTTGCTCCGCGGAATACCATTCGATGTGGTCAAGTCCATTGGGAGATGGTCAAGTGAAGCCTTCACATTATATCTGCGCAAACATGCAGTCATACTGGCGCCGTATTTGCAAGAATCGCCTGCCCTAGAACCTTTCACACGATATACAATGCCGCAAACACATTAGAGAGGTAAGCACACCTTCAAAATACTATATCGAACTTTCTCCTTTAGAGCAGGTGTCCATGTTGAGCTATGACGCGTCGCAAGTCTCCTATATCGTTGGGAATCACAGCTCACATGGACTTTCTCCACAGATAGGAAACGGTGTTTCGGGTCGCGAGACCCTGTGGGTCCGAGCCCAAATAGCTACACGAATGTTCTTGTTACCGTTTGTAAAATCAGAGATTATTGCTTACCAATATACGTGATTTTACTCGCTAGACCAGAGAGCAAAAGCTACACATAGATTTGTACACTAGGATTAAGGCTCTCTACACACCGCCGATTGGTTTGGAGTCTGGATCCAGTGTAACTCACCTATGACAATATCGGAATTGTTGCTCTAGGATATACAATAATAAATATAAGATATACAACAATAAATACAGCGGTGTGTGAAAAATGTACACGGCATAACGGCAAATCGAACCGTCACTAAAGAGCAGTGCTTTAACCTTACGGTCGATCAACTTAGGTGAATCAACATCAAGTTGACTCGAACCCTTGCGAGTTGCGCTCGTAGGAACTCAACGATTAGCAGATAATTCGAGAGGCACAACGGGCCTGAAGCCAGTATCTTGTCCTCGCTGGGACATCGGTGCCTTGTTAGCAGAATGGACGTTGGATGATGGCATAGCAAAATACTGTTCGCTGGTAAGCTCGCTTCCCGGGGATCGGAAAATGCTCACTACCTGAAAACTGTTTGGAAATTGGGATGGAGGGTTTCTGGTAGTCGATGTGAGGTTCACGCTTCTGCCAGTTGGTGGATATGTTGAGGAGCTGGGGACAGGCGCCGAATCTAAATCTACATAACAGCCTGATCCAGCTGACGGGCCGCATGCGAGTCTATTCTAATGCACACGTGTATTTCGATTGTCGCACGCAGTCGCGAAGTTATAAGACGCAAGGAGAACTGGTTATGCAAGCTTGAAAATAGCATCTTCAGTAATGTTGCTGAGAGTCCTGACATGTTGAACGATACGAACAATTCACACGGGTGGTTGTGGAACACCACAACTACAAAATTGTCATTGGAGAGTGACCTTGTATGACCAAGGTAATTAATATTGATACTACATCACAGCTTTGCTTTCTAATCAATCACATTAGCACTCGGACTCGAAAGGCAGCAGCGAAAGACAGATTCACAGTTGTGCAGCTGAATGATGTCCAAGTATCCACGACACAGCATTCTCTACAATCGCATGGTTCGATTGATATGATCGTGCCTTCAGGTCCGCAGTAAAACCCGACATCGTTGTTGTTCAAATTGTCGAAGTCCTCATAGCACGCTGCTGAATCTATGGATAAACCGTAAGTGCGGGGTCTTAGGCAGGCTGCAAGAGTGCTCACTGGCGGGGAGGCAGTTTTCGCCCACGTGTATTGATGCGATGGCTACTCCAACCATTGCTGTGGCAGAAATGACAATGGTGGTGAGTGAAGTAAATTTCATGGTGGAGTTTTCTAAGCTGAAACGAGTAGAGTGGCTTTTATACACAATTAGTGTATGGTGCAGCCAAGCACCTTTATTGTTGTATGCTGGACAAACCGGATGCCGCCTCATGCTCTGCGGCATTCTTTCACTTTCTTTTACGCAGTGACACGCAAATGAGTGACCAGACCGGGCTAATGTTGTGGGTAGAACTATTCTAAGGTAGTCCTGGCGACAGAACCTGGCAGAATCCACGTTTTGCGAAAATCGTGCTACCATTCGACAGCAAAATAGAATCAATATTCCAATTCCCATCTTCGTGTCGAGTGCTCTTTCTTCTAAAAATTCCTTCCCATTTATGTCCCAGTCTGAGGCAAACTTCATGTCCATCACTTTTTCTGCATTACGAATATCTTTGAGTCGAGCAACCTCGGCATATCGATTTAGGATCATTCTCACCGGAGAGACTGTTGTGAAGAAACAAAATGCGAAGTCGATCTTGGGCTGCTTGGCAGCCTCTGTATAATTGCTTGAAAGTTTGTTTGTATGCATGTGAGCGCGACGGCGTCTGACGTTGCGCTGACTTGCTATCAGCAGCATTCCCAAGGTGGATATATGATACCGAAGACTAGTACGTGAGGTGCTCGAAACATCAATGCGCGTTCAGAGCTCTCTGGCCTCCAGACTTCGTAGCCGTTATAGAGTCTTAAAGCTTCTCAATTGACGCTATCATACACTGAACTAGGGTTCTGCATATGCAGGAGTCTTGCCACATTTTTTTTTTTGCTTCAGAGTGGGATCCTTGGGGGTCATAGACCCTATGTTGGACATAGTCTCGTCATAAGTTTTCTTTCGTGTGTTGGGGTAATATGATTAGATGGTGTAATTCGGACACGTGTCCTGCCACATTATGTCTCGGAGGTTCTGCCCTGCCACATGGCAGAATGACAGAGCTCTGCCCGCAACACTACCCGTACCTGTTGCTCGTCCGGTTCCCGGAAGTTGCGTCACTTCAAGGTACGAGCAATTGCCTATGTAAGACCCTGAGGAGCCCTTAGCGCTGACCCTTGTTATATTCTGTCTTGCCTCCACGACCAACACGAATGCTACCTCTGCTGCTTGCTAAATATCAATGTCTATTGTTAACCCTCTGGCCTCTTCATTCGTCCCTTCAGCATCAACCAACCGAGCACTTCCATGTCACCGTCTGTTATGAAGAATCGTCGAAATACTTATATCATTACAGCGTACATCACACCCCTCATACAAACTGCACTGCCGGGCATCCTCTACTACTCCACAGGACTTCAAGACGTTGTCGTAAACGTGCCATGACACATCAGTATTTAAATGGCCTGTGTGAAAATTGGTCCTTGACATGTCTACCAAGGGGTTCCTGGAACTTTCCGACATCACCATTGTACGTTCATTGACTCTGGCGAACGTTTGGCGACCGGCAGAACACTGACTGGTGGGAAGGTTAGGTGATATCATGGGTCACATCCAAAAGGGCAGTGTATTCAGCCTCCGACTCGAGACTCAGCGACACTGCTATTGATTATAATTAATACTACATGCTCGACTTGAACATCTCTTCAAGTGAGAGCACTTGACGCACTACTATTTGTCGATGGTCAGTCACATCTACCTTCCCCCTTCTATAAGATCTGAGGCGGGCTGCTAGGCAACTGAATTATCCCCGCAAGTGCCCGATCATGACGCAGCTCGCACACAGTCCAATACCAGTCTGCCAGCTGAGACCGTCACCTTTGCACACCGAATATTCGACGCTGCGCGGGAGGGAAACACAGAGCTCATCCTTCAAGCAGTTGATGCGGGCTTGCCAGTCAACCTCACAAATGAAAAAGGTGCGTCCGAGTCATCGATATCCTAGCCCCTTCAATGACGTACGATACATTCATATAGGAAACACCTTATTGATGCTCGCAGCATATGCAGGCCACGTGGAATTGACTAAAGGACTTCTGCAACGGAAAGCAGATCCAAACAGGCTCAACGATCTTGGCCAATCTATAGTCGCGGGCGCTGTGTTTAAGTCGCACGATGAGGTTGTGCGTGTTCTGGTTGAAGCTGGCGCAGATCCGAGAATAGGCAAACCCACTGCAATAGAGGCAGCTCATATATTTGCTCGGAAGGAGTTGATGGAAGTGCTGGGCGCAAAACAGGGCGATATCGGCGCTGATGTTCCCATCTCTCCTAGTGCACGTCCCGAAAAGTGATCACATCTAAGCCAGTTTGAAAATTCTGACAGATAACCTGTACCACCCATTCAAAACATTTGTGCCATGTTCATAAATATTTCGTGTGAGAATAGAATAACTTGCAAAGCAGATGAAAGCATCTATTGCTAAATCGCGCCCATCTCCTTCCCAAGAACCTGTAACGCCTTCCTCGCAAGTGTTCTTGCATCTACCTCCGTTGCATTGCCACCATTTTCTAGAGCACCGATGTGAGGCTGCAGAAAATTGCCTCTCCTCTCCTGGTTAGTCTCGGGTGGCGAGGTACTTGTGATCACCCATGCTGATGGCGTCTTCCGCGGAATAGAAGCGATTTCACACAACACCGAATAAAAATAGAAGAGATGAGCGACTGGCGACCGTTTCACCACATCCGCAATAAGTGCAGACGGTGAAAGACTGACATCAACCGCTGGGCAGACGCTCAGCATAGATCAGATCACAGAGCAAAGAAACAGGTACCGGGTTGAGAATCACTGAACTTCGATGGTGACTCCGACAGTGCGGCCCACAAGGTTCCTGGCCAGAGCCGTAAATCCACAATCTTGCGAAGTACATACAACAGTTCATCTTCACGAACCCTGTCAAAATTGGTTCAGTAACAGAGAATGATGCGACACGATTACAATTTACCTCGGGAAAGGCATATTACCCCGAATAGCCTCATCAGCAACATAGCTAACCATTGGAGTTTTGCATCGATCAAGTAAGGCCGGCAGAGAAAGTGCAGCAACTCGCTTCCTTGAAGACTCTTGATCTAGAAGAACAGTTAGCTCTGGAAATGCTCGCAGAGGGATTGAGTCACCGCTTGTAACATCAGAGCATATCAAAAACAGAAGATCAAAACACCAAAACGAAAACCGCTCTCTCGGAACCAAAAATCCAGATGCAGTTGTTCCGATATCGAGGTCCACCTTCTCGAAGTCATGCGATTCCCGAGAGTCATCTGATACATTCGCAGTATCTGTCGAGGGCGAACCAGGACGTGAGGGGTTCATGCTCGACTTGTATAACTGGCTGCCTTTGTGCAAGATCTTGGCCAACTGTGCGATGAGGTGATCAGGAACTCTTGTATCTCCCAGATGCGGTACGAGATCAATCTCCAATGAGCTGATGAGAGACAGATCAAAGTTTTCCTCCGCTTCCTGATCTTCGAGTGAGAAACCCTCTGTCACAGTGCTACAAACACGTTAGTGATGGAGTACAAAAAACGACAGAATGAGATAAGAACGAAGTGCGCACCAATCAGCCAAAATGCCACCCCGAAAGACTTCAATGATTTGTCGCCATATGCCCTCGACTCGCGTATCGGATATACCTGTATTTTATAATCAGATGAAGTCAACCAAATCATTGACTACGTACGATCGCCGAATGCTGCCATCCTTCTGACCGAGTCAGTGACTATACGGAGAAAACTTGTTGTCGCGGTTTTCCACAGAGGAGGATCTTTGCCAAACTTTGATGGAGCAGGACACTCGTACTTTAGCTTTATTGGTATTGAATAGGTCTGAGTACAAAACAAAATGAGCATTCGGAGACCAAGGACATCATCAATGACATACCGAGAAGACAGCTTCCAAGGTACCATCTTCATAGATCTCGAGTTCATCCTTGAAGCGCATGTACAACTCAACGATAAGCGGCATAACCTTCTTGGACAACGCAATGTATGTGACTTGTTTTTGGGACGATGTCGCAATAGACGTTGAGAGGGAGGCGGGAGACAAGATGGGCACATGAAAAGCAGCCAGAAACGGAAGTGTGCTGAATTCTGAGAGATCTCGTAAGATGAGAGATGGGACACCAGAACCCGTTGAGTTAATATCGGCGATAGCGTCCAAGACCACTGCCTGTCATATCAATAAGACGATGGTGTTCAGTGAATGCTGAACATTCACCTACCTGAACAGGTGACAAACCATCAACATCCGGACGATAGTCCGTAGAGTTAGGATAGGTAAGAACGCCTGTGCATGGCTCAGGAAGAAGGATGCGACAAAAATAGAGAGACGTACCCTTGAGGATTTCCATCAGACGATTGAGGCGCTGAAGTGGCCATTCCTTCTTCGTCTGGGCCAGACTAATGGAACGGGTGCTCCGTATGACGTCGACAAGAGCGACCAAACTCTCCTGTGTAAATGCACGGTAGAGTTGTGTCGTATTCGTACTCGGAGAGAGCTGAGATCCCCCACCCTGGAGTACCATGCTCCCCATCTCACTGCATGCCCTTCCATACACATTCCCAAGCCTCCGATACCTTGACCTGCAGAGAAGCGTCTGCGCCAGAAAGCGCTTTCACCACTTTCCCCAACGAAAGTAGTGCAGGCGGACTCAAGTTTCGACGGTCCAATGATACAGTATCGTGAACGTGGGTAACAAACACGGACCACGCTTTCGAGAAGGAGTCCAGATGCATGATCTTGATGACTAGGAAGTCGCTGATAATAGATCCAATCGACTGCAATGCAAGACTCTTCGATTCGTCCCATGCATGCTCGGGAGACTGCGACGCCAGACCAGAGTTCAGCAAAGCTCCGGGCTCAGAAGTGCTACGCCGGGTTTCTAAAGATATTGCGTCGAGTAATGGGAATGTGATCTTCCATATGCAGTCATTCCATGTATCCAGCGTAAGCGTGGCTCCGTAAAGTTGCATTGCACGGAAAAGGGTCTGAATGGCGCCTACACGAACTTCGTGCCTAGCGTCAGTACAAAGACCTAGAACTTCCAACAGTAGACACATCCACAGCGCGCTATATTCTGGTTCCATCTCTGCATCCTTCCGCTTTGCCTGGATCGAGTCCGACACACTCCAGAGAAGGCTTTCTGCCGCAGTAAGCGCAATGTTCGTGTCAGCTTGTCGACCAAATTGTCCGAGGGTTTTGATGCAAAGCCGCAAGTCTTCAGGGGATAACACAGACACAGAGTCGCAAACAAGTTTGAGGGACTGGAAGGCGATCTTCACCAGTGCTGTGTAGCCGCGGTCGTTAACATACCCTAGAGGCAGTGGCTTTTGACGGGGCGTCTCTTGAAGCGACAACGTGCTGATGGAATCGACCGACTGAGATCTGGAGGGAGCCGCAGGTTTACAGATGCTCCCTAGCATCTCAAAAATGCTACCCCACCCGACGATGAAAGTGTGTCCGGACGCTTGTAGAATTTGATGCAGGGTCTCCAATCCCATTCGCCGGAGCTCGATATTCGTGCTCGTCGGTAGGACGTCGGATGATGCGGGTACTATCTGTTTGGACAGAACGTCGAGAACGCGACGCTGAACTTTGGCCTGCAGATCTCCAGTGGATGACAAGTTACGGGGGACCACGGTGAGAATTTCATCAAGGACGCGTGCTGCCTGCACTCGTATGGACTGCGGCGCTGAGGAGAGACCCATAATCCACAGAAGGTGATTTGTAGTAGTGTTCCATGCAACCTCAGGTGCGCGATAGATGAAGCGATGCAAGTTCAACATTGCTACCGAACCCAGGCGCTCCACACCAAAATCACCCTGACGCTGAGAAGATGTTAGATCTCATTATGACGCACAAGGGTAAACCCTGACATACCAGCGCTGCGCGGCAGATGAATTCCGCTGACGCGCCTCCTGTGAGGAGAAATTGGTACAGGACTCAAGAAATCATCCGACTCCATCAGCGTGCTTCCATCAGATTGCATACCAACCATCTCTGAGCTAAGTTTGCAGAGCGCGGTGACAAAGTCCTGAAAAGCTGAATCCTCCAGGTTTTTGGACGCATCGAAGAGGCGCTGCACGGCAGCAAGCACGCTCTCTGAATCGATATCTATGAGGAGGGGGTGACGGGCCACTTTCCCCTGTTCAGCGGAGCTCGTCGCTGACACGGATCGATTGGGTGTCATGGGTGTGCTCATCCGCCGGTTGGTAGCTGCTTGCGATGCTTTGACGTTCAAGACGTAATCCGCATTCTGTAAAGCTTCCAGAATGCCATACCAGCTCTCTCCTAGGCTGCCAGCGAGGAAAAGGGCACTAGATACCAGCACTTTGAGACATGCCAGATTTCGTTCGGAAAGTCCCGGAGCTTGGATAGGTGCTGTCAACCCCAGGTTATCCGTGAATGAAGTTGACGTTCGGGGCGTCGGAGGTTCCACGTACGATTCTAAGCTGGACACTACTCGCGAGGGTATTGCAAATTTGGAAAGTGAGTTGAACAATGCATCGCGAGGAGTGCTGAGGGCAAGCATCCCCGCCACGTTCGTCAATGCTTGATAGCTGCTAAGAACGTCTATAAAGAGCTCATCTGACAGATTTGTCGAGATAATGAAGGATAGAGCTGCGAGAAGCGCAGGCCAGCCGTTCTCAACCATAGAACGGACGATGATGAGGTGCTCAGTTGCAGGATCGTCCTGCGGGAGAGCGGAGAGGTCAAGAGAAGCAGGTGCGCGAATGACAGGCTCGCCAGCCGCTCGAGGACGTTGAACCATGATGGACGTGTACAGTGGGCCGGTGAACGAAGCGAAGCCTTCGCATAGGGAGACAATACACTGCACAGCGAGAAGGTATATATATGCTTCGGGGATGGGCGGGGAGTCTGCTTTGTCTAATTGATCGATACTGGTCAGGAAAGATAGCTCAGGATAATCCGTGAGATGCGAAATGAAGACTGTACCATTGAAGCTTCATGGCCGAGTTCTGCACGCTTAGACCAATGCCAGACCCAATTATCCCAACTACTCCTGACACGGTGGCACTTGCAGCCGTGGCAACCATTCCAGCAACCCCACCAACATCCAAACCGTAATTGGATCCCGATTGTGCAGCACTATCACCCGCATGAGAAATTCCGACCCCCATCATCTGCGGGCTAACTCCGAGAAGCGCAGGTTTCTCAGTAACGAGACGCTTCAATGCGACTATCATAGAGCTAAAGACCTTGGAGCCCGGCTGCTGCGCATCATAGCGATCCCATATGTTTCGGACAAGCTCGGCATCGCTGCATACCCTGAAAAGAAATATTAGTGCAAACTTCGCGCGTCAAGCTTGAGACAAACCCTCTCATTATCTCCATTGCGAGAACCCTTGTCCATATTGGACGTGAGCTGGAATGGTCCGGATTTGATGCGTCGGGATCTTCTGAGATCATTCTTATGAGAAGCATCAGGAATACTTCAGCTTCCGTCTCTAGTTCGAATGAAAACTGCTTCAGAATCAAGAACACAACTCGTGTGCATCTGAGTGTCAACGGAAAGACATGTCTGTCGGAGAGAGATTTCAGGATGAGTGGACAAAGGTGGTGTTGCAGCAACATCAAAAGCTCGGCGTGCTGCGACGAGCATTAGTATGAACTAGCTGAATGAGACTGACAAACTTACCTTCCTGAATAGCTCGTGGTAGTTCGTGAGTACACTCTCAATTAACTCCAAGGCGAAGGTCTTATGTAGGTAGTCGAGCTTCAAGAAATTGGGTCTCTCTGAATTTGCTAGGAGACACAGATCTTCGAAGACAGAGAATGCATCTTTGGCACAAGGCCCTAACGCTTTGGTACTACCATCCGGAAGAGTCGCCTCAGAGAGCTCCGGGGTGTCGCTGGCCTCTTGACGATCCTCGTTAACCATTTTTTCAAAGATAAACATGACCAGTTGGCGCAGGGTAGCTGCAGCTGTCGAAGAAACTACTGCGATCCTAGAATCCTGCAACTTAAAACAAAGAAGCAATGCCTTTCACGGGTAATCAGACAGGTACTAGGAAGTATCGAGAGAACGTACCTCTCCCAGGAGCTCTCCGTGTATTGAAGGAAAATTAGTGATCAAGGATACTAAGGTTTGCAGGATCCGAAGTTGAATGTCCACGCCTTGGCTCATAGCATCGTTCATCGTGCTGACAATGAGTGCGACAGCAGACTGCGGCACTGCCTTGAGGGCTATCAGCCGCTGCAGCGACCCCAACGAGATGGCGACGACTTTCGCGTTCTTGGTCGCGCATCCCATAAACACTGGACGAAGAAGATCATCCGACTGTGCGCTGTCTGTGGGTGAACGATGAAGAAAGTGGGGCGCATTTCGATGGAATCACGTACCAGACGCCAAAGATGCTGTTGCTTGCTCTGGAGAGGATCTAAGTATCGCTAGCGACTTCTCTGCTGCCTTTGTGTGGACATAAGACGTCAGTACGTGTGATGAGTGCTTGCCGTCGTACCTCGCGTATTTCCGGATGCTTTCTCCTGGACTCGCTGGCGAGAGACTTTAGGCGAAGGTGTAAGTAGACATTGACAGGCCATCATTGTAAACACAAACACACTTGCAATTCAGTCACTAGGAAGGCTAGTGAGCTCATCTCGTCCTTGCGTGATTCTGAACGAGATTTAAACGAGTCCACACAAATTCCAGGCTTTTGTCGGTTATAGCGGAACACAGCCCAGGCTGCCCAGTGCGCAGAAGATCAGAGATTGAAAGAAATTGTCAACTGAGGGTCGAATGATGAACTGCAATTGTGTTTGGGAAAGTGTATTATGGGCGCTTCAGAGTTGACGTTGTTGATGATCATGATTGGCTGTGATCATTGCTTCAGCATCTACCCGTACGTTCAAGTCTTCTTCTACTCTACTAGTAGTATATCAAACACTAACCGTATCACTATAGCAGCACCAATGGGATTACTAAAAGTTCAAGCTTGAGGACCCAAATGCTTTACGCTTTTTCATACAGTGTTCGTCATCATGCGTTCGGACAAGCGGGTCGCGGTAGAAATTCAAGAAAACTAGTTGAGGTAACCAATGCAATCCCATTGTACTAATTTAGTGTTCATGCGACCTGCTGCCCATCTCTGTGTCACTCGATGATGTCTCGATCTACCTGTCGACGAATTCAATTCATACGTTCCGGTGGCATCTGTCCGAGTGCTTGCAGTTCACGACTGGCCACAATGTGTCCCAGTGACTATTAGGGTCCATTCGGATTTGATTCTCCGTCTGTTGGAAGGGAGTCCGGTCCGAGCTGTGACGTGCCAGTGTGTGGTGGTTCTCCCGCTGTACAAATTCTGAATTTTGAAATCGGCAATATGTATATGATAGAGTGCAGAGTGGTGCCTTGCGTACTCACGGCGTGTTCTCCCCCGCAAGCATGATTATCACTGGTTTGTCGTTGGAGACCCTTGCAACATTAGTGAGTTTGGTGTGTGCACTGCGCGCCTTCCAGCTCTTCTTAGATTTCCGTCGACTGTTGGAAAGCATTCAGTGAGTTACTACCAGCTTTATCGAATTACTTATATAGAACTAATTATCTTGCATAGTCACCTTCCAGGATACAGAACAATCATCGATCACTTAAGCGTGCTCGAATGCCTGTTTCCCCCGATCCCCTTGTTGAACTTAGGTCATGACCATTCTTGGCTGTTGAAGCATGCCCGTACGTCGAACATTTTCCACCCTGGTTTATTTTCCCTAGTCAACATAAATCTCGGAAGCCTTTGCAGAGAGGGGCCTTGATATAATTTCTACTGTAAGTTGCCTGCAACACCGTGGTGTAGCAAAGGTCAATGGTTCTATGTGGCATGCTGGCCGAAAGCAGCGGGATCGCTGTTCATAGCAGACGCCAATGTAATCAAGGTATGACCGTCTATTTCGGCCTTGAAAGCCTTCAGATTGATTAATCGTACCAAAGGACGTTGTTTGGTCTCGTGGAGGACGCTTCCCGAAACCTCTTGGACGATATGCCATATTAGCATTCTTCGGGGAAAACATTATTGTTTCCGAAGGCGACCAATGGAAGCGTTACCGCAAGATCGCCGCACCTGCGTTTTCAGAAGTCAGTAACTGACGTCCACGCGTACATTGAAGCTTCCTAACTTATAAGTTAAAGAGTAACAATACACTGGTCTGGGATGCAACGATACAGATCATGCTCGACCTTTTTGATACAATGTGGGCTGGACAAGAAGAAGTGGTTTTTAATCACTCCGTAGATTTGACTTTTCAAGTGAGAGCTCTTGATGCCACCTCCGCGTTTCTTTTAATTAATTTTATTCGGATCACCAGATTGCTCTGTTCGTTATCGGGGCTGCAGGTGAGCGTAATCGGCCTTATGAATAGATAGTTGGATATGTTGAACTCATTATAGGCTTTGGTCGTCCTATAACCTGGAAGGAGGACGCTGTGGTCCCACTCGGACACCAACTTACTTTCAAAGATGCTATCCACACAGTGACACAAGACCTCACCCTTGCATTATTAGTACCGAGATGGGCCATGGGACTTACTAAACGTTTCAGACGTGCAAGGCTCGCCTTCGATGAATTGCATGTCTGTACCATAATCGTGACTGAGTACTTGACATTTTGATGACCTTTTTTTTGTAGCGATACCTAACAGAGATGATCCATGAACGACAGGTATCCCAGCAGGAAGATCGTCACAACCTGTTATCCAGTTTGTTATCAGCAAATGACGATGATAATTTGTCGAAGGACGAAGTAAAGCTGAGTGACAGCGAATTAATTGGTAAGCTACAATTTCAGACTTTGTAACAGAGCATGACGACACTGTCCGACAGGCAATATCTTCATATTTTTGGTCGCAGGACACGAGGTATCACATCCATTTCACACTTTTGCCTCGCGCTGACGACTTACAGACGACAGCCCATACACTTTCTTTTGCGTTCGCACTATTGGCGTTACATCCCGATAAGCAAGAAGAAATGTACCAACATATCAAGCGCGTACTGCCTGATGGAAGAATTCCTGTATTTACCCCTGAATCACAGACAGCTATACAACCAGGCTCACGACGTTTTTGACAGACTTATAATGATATGCCGTCATTGGCCTACTCTTCTGCGTCAGTTTGCCTCTGAATCAACTGGGTTATGGGCTGATATCGGAGCAGCGTATTCAACGAGGCACTGCGGATGTTCCCCCCTGTATGTTGGTGAAGCGAATATCTCCAAGCGTTTGCGTTAACCTTAAGTGCAGGTTTCCGTTGTAACCAAGGTAAGTACCGAAGACACGACCTTCACCCTCGCAGATGCGAACGGCACGATGAAAACGGTCGTTGTGCCTAAAGGATTGGAACTTGCACTGGACGTACCTGGGCTTCACTACAACCGTAAGTCACTTTCATAATGCAAAGAGATGCAATAACAACATGGCGCATGATTGTAGCTAAGTACTGGGAAGATCCATTCTCGTTTAAGCCCGAACGATTCCTGGGTGAATGGAACCGAGATGCATTCCTTTCCTTCAGTGGTGGTAAGTGTCACTGTAATATCTTGCTCAGAACGAACTCGAAGACGCACATTTTAATGAAGGTCACAGAGGGTGTTTAGGAAGAAAGTGAGCATATTATCATTTATCCTTGGTCATCCATTTGATTTTGTTTAGGTTCGCGGAAACCGAAGGAGCAGCTGTTCTCACCATGTTAATTTCGCGATATACGATTTCAATCAAGGACGAGCCGCAATTTGTTGGCGAAACATATGAACAGCGCAAGGCGCGAGTACTTGACGCGCGAAGTATACTCACTCTGGCGTATGTTGGACTTCTACTCTTGTGAGATGAAATGTTGATGGCTGTTACTATTAGACCAACCCGCCTTCCCCTGGTGTTCCGACGGAGGATTTAAAGAAAAGCTTTGGCTATACCTGTAAGTCGCGCTCAATTTTAACACAAATATGGCAACTTCTTATTGAGATCCTCTAGGACCTCATAATACTTGTTACTACAAACCGTTTTGCATTCATTGAAGACAAATTGTTGTTGTTCTAAGTACTTACTAGGCTGGTTCTCGAATCCAACCTATCCTGCCTTGGGGCGCAAGGCGGTGAAAAGCTATCATCGGTTGTTTGCGTACCATTGTGACTCCGCCGGCGCTTGATTCAATAATATTTGATCAAATGCCACGCAGATGGGCCAACCTGTCCCAGAATCTCTCAAATGAACATTTGGAAGTGCGAAAATGAGCGCCGTCGATGCGGGATGATGATGGAGCATAATGCCTCCATCTTTAGGTGCAGAGCATACTTGCTAAATAGCCAACGCCACACCTTTTCCCCCCTGTTATTATAATTTATGCGTAGTTGAATGCATCAATATTTGAGATCGAACCTCTTTTTCCCCAAGTCTGGAGGGAGTTTTTCAAGTAAGAAATCGGCCTAAAAGACAAAGTCGATGGACTTCTGATTGAGCAGAGGAGGAAACGAAGAGGGTCAGAATAGCGAAAGCGTGGACAATATCGTGGAGTTGTCAAATAACGTGAGTGCCATATGCAAAGAGCAAGGAACAGAATCGTGAATGGTCCTTCACAGAATGTAAGAATTACTGGCGCCAGACAATATTCATGAGAAGATCTACAATTAAGTGCGTTAATCTTCGTACTGCGGAGTCAGACGATACGGCTATCCTTCAAGAGCTTGAAGCAAAGGATTTGTCAATGGGTGTGGAGCCTTGAGAAACCCATTTGAGTGAGAGGTTGAGAATGATATTGCCTTATAATTCGGCTCGGCTGCATGATTAACTTGTCTGCATCAATATGATTGGGAGGCGGACGCCGAGAACTCCAAAACCTCCGAAACATTAGGAGAGCTCACCTAGACAATTCCGACCTTATTGGTAACAAGGGCGCATATGCGCTGGGCACGTTGTTCCTCATCTCTTCGTGGTCATCGGGCAGACGAGCCTGAAAGGCGATGACCGTCCCTTGCTATGCTATATGATCCTGCACCCGTGATCAGATGCTCAAATCCGATTGCTCTTACGAACTGTCGTAGCAAAGGTTGAGTTACTCCATAGGGTACCAGTAGGTAAGGTCACTTACTGAGTGCGGGACATGATTGGGACTTCTCAATCAATCACCATGGCACGGTTTCAGATGCTGTTTTGTCGCTTCGTTTGAAATGCGCAACAGACCACCGGGGTAGGTCCACAAAATACAATTTTCGTCAGTAAATAGTACATGAATGCTGCGAAGAGAAATGGAGGTAAAAGCAGTCACCGATAGGTATGAGAAACCATTATCTCCACTCGCTTCAACAACTAGGGTCATTGATGAACCACTGCCCATAGACGCCCCAGATCTAGACACATTTCAGGTACAATTTAGGAGTGATAACTCAAATGTACGTACGCTATTCGAGCACGAGTCTGCACCAGAGAATTGACGGTCTAAGAAGCGAGCAGGCGTTGTCGCACAGAATTCCTTATAGTCTGCGTTGGCCGGTACGTTCATGAGATGTTGCTCAATGTGCTACAATCAAAATCAACTCAAGTCCCAGGGAGCAGTACGTCTGCCTCTCACTCTCTGCTTCGAGCCTTTAGCAGTACATCCCTATGACATAGAGTGGTGAGTTTAGGTGAAATGCGAGACATTTAACTTACCCAATCCCTATACCCACTCCAGTATGTGACACAGTCTGGTTCGTCATTTTTGACGGCAAAATGCCCAACTACCGTGCCTGAGCGCTATACCAAGTCAAATACTGTTATCAGGACTAATGAGAAACATCAACCAACATCTTCGCATCTGGAAGGCAAGCGAGACCGGCCATGGATAACCACTGGAGTACTCATACAGATTTTCATCCACTGATAGTTCCAAGGGGAGACATTGAGTTCCGCTAGGTATTCCCTTGTTGCATAAGTGGTGCAGGAATGAGATTCAAGATTGGTCCAAACCACATTGACGGGCATAGAATAGTCAAATGGAAAAATATAAAACAGCCCCAAAATGAGTATAGCTCCGATAATTGTGATGAGGCAACATCTTGAGCCGTCGTTTGGTCGAGATCTTCCTCTCTGAAGGAGATGATCGGTTTCGCTGGACCTAAAGACGAGTATTAACAACTGCACATGCTTTCGTGCTACAGACATCGTGCCTGGAATGAATGCTAACCACCTCTATCAATGACTACAGTCGACAGAGATGTGTGGAATGAAAGCTTACACGATCCGAGAAACGGGGCGCGCTGGTACCGCAATCGAGGGCTGGCGTCCGTGATGCCTATGAGAACCATAGTCATGCGAGTGACCGTTGTGTATGTGGCTTTGCGCGGTGGAGTGAGAATGGCCAGGACGGGATGCTTGTGGCGAAGCATATTGCTTGTATGGAGGAGGAGGATCTGAACTGATAAACACCTCATTAGATTTGACAATTGCAGCAACCTTAGAATCTTACCTTGTATAATGCGACATCGTATCTTTTAGTGTCTTGTAAGGTGAGCATAAACTCGTGGATTATAGACGCGGTAGAATGTGGGAGAAGTATGAAGATACATACATTCTCCCTGGATGTCACATACGTAAACACGCTGCAGGGCTAAGTTAGACGCCAGTGGCACGGGCCCAGGCGCGCAAGGCTTGCCACAGGCTTTGACGTCACGGTTGTTAAGAAAAGCGTTTGTCCATGGGAAGTCGAGATTTCTGAGCATGATTTCAAATTTTCATCACAATCCTGCTTCCTAGCAATGATCGAGACTAGCCAGGCGAACGTAAAACAGTCATAATGAATTCGGACAGGATCGACATCAGACTCATCGATATCCACGAAGATGGCATAGGCCACTCCGACACCGGCAGAGAACAGCAGAAATAATGTCGTCTATACCATACACCCAGCATTCAACGCTATGTCCCACAATTCCATCAACGTTTTCGAAACTGGATTCAAGGCATCTATTAGTGAGTCCGAGTCATTGTAGCTTGCGCCGCGAGTTCCCATACTCACTGCATTTTTGCTAAAGCATAATGTTTTGTCCGTTCAAGGCAAGATCATGTACTTCATCACTTATATCACGACCATGGACGCTATATGATCTCAATACCATTGAAGAATTCGAGCTCGCTTGCTATGAACAGAAGAGGCCAGGCTGAAGACATCATTCATCACAGTAGGCACCCGGGAGGGAAGTGTCGAAGGAGGGTCCAGTCAAACGGAATTGAAGCTTTGTCTATTCTGTTCATGGGTCGGAATTCAAGGGTTCTTGGGGCGGATTTCTTCATAACCCAATAAGACGCATGCCAGACTTCGAATCTAAGCGTATGTTGGCCGGTACGTCTTATTTGATACCCGACAAGATATGCGCCAATCTATAATGTTTGATGATGGGCAATCAGACTCATCCGCAGACATGTACCAAGCCTGTATGACCACACAAGCTTTCACAGTACGTTACATTGGTCTTTCCCTCGGTCCGACAAGCATGGTTGACGTTCGATTTCAGCCAACACGCGCACCGGCACCTACTACTCCGTCACCCCTCAGTCGTACACGAAACTTCTGGGGAAAACTCCAAAAATGCAGACCCTGTCGAGCACCACAGCATGTAACCCATTCCAGAGGGTGTCTCGCATCCCTACGTTCTCTTGTTTGTTCTCAAATATCCGATCATTCGTATGGAAGTCCTCGGAAGATCGAGCTCACCTTCATCTACAGAGGTTTCCGATATCACTGCTTTTAATCTCAATTAGATAGGTAGGGAAGAGGGAAATTCTGTCGTTTTCGTCGTATTCTGATTGTTCATTATAGATCATGTCTTTACCAACGCTCTTATTCGACATCAGTTTGTTGTGTAATCCTTGTGCTTTATTGTACGGACGAGTGAACAGTTCGAGGTGGAATTGATTGCCTAATGCAGGGAAACAGACGCCGTGTGTAACTGTTGTGTCATAAGCCATACGAGCCCTCGCTTCGTATTTGTTCGCTGTTATCTCTCGCCGCGATCTCGTTCTGTACCACACAGTACAGCTTTCATCATAAGCCAGATCACCTCTACTTCAGGACGCACACTAAGATCTCCCCATGGCAACCATCGACGCTCAGGTCCTCAGGGAAATGATTGAACGATTTCGAGTTCTTATCATAGGAAGAGCAAATGCAGGCAAAACGTCCATCCTTCACAAGGTCTGCAATACCACGGATGAACCAGAAATTTACGATACCAAAGGACAAAAGGTACGATCGATTGTCTATGCGATGCACGGGTTTACCGCTGATCAATCGTGGATAGATCGATGCGGCAGTCGTGGAATCATCGATCAAGGTGCGTGCACCATTTTGCCTGCAGGCATTTATACGCTGACAAACGATCAGCGTGGAAATCACGACATCAGAAACGAGATGGTGTTCAAAAGTAATCCCACTTTCGTCTTCCACGACTCATGCGGGTTCGAAGCGGGTTCTGAAGAAGAATTCGAGGACATGAAGAATTTCATCTCGGAACGGGCAAAGGCGACAAAATTGGAGGAACGACTTCATGCTATTTGGTAAGTGGCTCCCTCCTGACATTCAGCGCTTGTTGACTTCCATCAGGTTCTGTATTCCAATGGACGACCATTGTCGAACATTTCAACGGGGCGGAGGAAAAATTCTTCTTGGAGTGCGACACCGGGCACAGCGAGTTTTCAGGTCTACTTTCCTATGTTTTACTCGGACTAAATGATCCATCTTCAGTTCCCGTGGTCGTGATATTCACCAAATTTGACGCTTTACGTCCAATCGCATTCGGAGAACTCAAGAGGGAACTAAAAGGGGCACCAGTAGGAGAATGCTTGAAAGGGATTCCTCAGCGGGTCGAAGAATTGTTCATGAAGACAGGTGTCTTGAATCGATTGTACGATCCTAAAAACCGTGCTCGTCCTAAGTCCTATGTGCGCTTGGAAAGTAAGTGATTCAGACTGACTCGTGCCACATCAAAGTTGATTGATTTCACCATCCTAGATATGCAGAAACCGAACACGAACTGCAGCACTCTACTGGAACACACCACTCTAGCATTGGACAACGAAGAATTGCAACTGTGCTTGATATCGACACAGCAGTCGAACCTGGAGCTTTGCATCAAGTGCGCCGTCATGTGAGTCGCACAGTTGCAGGTCAACTATCTTACTTCCAGCATCATCTAGATCACTCGTCAACCGTACACATAAGCAATCTTGGCCAATCAATGATGAAGGCTATTCGTATGAAATTGCTAAGTGGTTTCCACATCTAAAAGTAAGACAAAGATTGATTCAGTCTGACGATGCCCTGGTAACACTCATGAATGGTAAATACTGAAGTGCTGAAACTATAAACAGTCTAATATTCATTGCTTGATTTTAGTTGACCATCATTAACAGCTGGTGAGCTGGTGGTTTACCAAGGTCAAACAGTATGAACAACACTGATGGCTTGCTCCTATTCGCCTGTTGACAGGGAGTAAGTGGCTTGATGGTTTTGAGTCCTCGACCGATGCTCATGATCCCCATCCCTTGCTGCTGCTCGCCTGTTGACAGAAAGTAAGTGGCTTGATGGTTTCGAGTCCTCGACCGATGCTCATGATCCCCATCCCTTGCTGCTGCTCGCCTGTTGACAGAAAGTAAGTGGCTTGATGGTTTCGAGTCCTCGACCGATGCTCATGATCCCCATCCCTTGCTGCTCGCCTGTTGACAGAAAGTAAGTGGCTTGATGGTTTCGAGTCTTCGACCGATGCTCATGATCCCCATCCCTTGCTGCTGCTCGCCTGTTGACAGAAAGTAAGTGGCTTGATGGTTTTGAGTCCTCGACCGATGCTCATGATCCCCATCCCTTGCTGCTGCTCGCCTGTTGACAGTACGTAAGTGGCTTGATGGTTTCAAGTCCTCGACCGATGCTCATGATCCCCATTCCTTGCTGCTGCTCGCCTGTTGACAGTGGGTAAGTGGCTTGATGGTTTCGAGTCCTCGACCGATGCTCATGATCCCCATCCCTTGCTGCTGCTCGCCTGTTGACAGGAAGTACGTGCCTCGATAGTTTCTAGTCCTCGACCGATGCTGATGATCTCCATTCCTTGCTGCTGCTCGCCTGTTAACAGGACGTAAGTGTCTTGCTTTTCTTTCTTCCTGTAATCTATGTGCAGAAGTCTTACATCTTCCTGCTGGTTTTTTTGGCAGGTGGTATGTGTCTTGATCATATCTTCTATTGAAATAATACCGAATAGTTTAACTCATGTTCATAGCCTGATGTGAGCATCTTCTATTCTATCAGATGAGTGGAATTACGATTGCTCATATAATGCATAGTTCGTTGAGTACCCCTCTCTGATGGCTTATTTTCCATATTCACATATCTTACATATTGTCTTGCCCCACGCAGAATGTGAGTCGTTTTACCCTCATACCGTGAAGTATTAAATGTGTTGATGAATTGACTGGTTCTTTCACCTGTAGGATGTGAGTTTATTTTAATCGCCGAAGGATTCTAGCCATATAATCTCTTGCATTTATGATGTGTTCGCAGAATGTGTGTAAACCATGTCCTGTCTAGATTCTATATCACTCCACTGACAAACAATCTTATTGAATCAGCTTGTACGTCCATGGATGATACATCTTCACTGTCACGTAGTGGTGCTCATTTATTTCCAACTCTTGACAGTTTGTAAGTTACCCGTGCACACCTGTCATTGTCCACAATCTGGTGGTTGATTGTTTACAACTGTCGCGGTTCACCAAATAGAATGTGCGTCTCTGTTATTAACCAAACGTCAATGTGTCACCTCATGATTCTGACATTCCCTTTCCGCAGAATGCAAGTACTTTTCTCTATGGAGTTGATTCTGATGCACATACCTTCAACCTGTTTCCAAGACGGAACCAAGACAAGTGACATCATCAGCGTTCTTCAGCCTTTGGTAGGTTAATTTTGCTCTGCATTGATCCTCAGCGCTGTAAGACTGTGCAACAGGTTGCGAAGAGATCATTGTTTACTGCTGCTACAAACAGAATCATCCATGCTGGCATTGGTTAGTTTCCCAGCGTATGATCAGTTGTAGTTCTTATCACAGGAAGCAGCTACTATTATCGTCCTTGAGTACTCTGCCTTTCTGCCGAACAATACCTATGACGAGCTGGAGAGCGTCAAGTCTGCCCTGGACTATTACCTGAAATCTCCGACGGCCGTCGCTGTGGAAAAAGGAGCGAAAGAGATTTCTCGCTCCGGCTATGAGAAAGAGGAACTCGGGATAAAGATTCTTGACTTCATCCTTGAAAATCGCATGTGTACGTCCCTCGTTTCGTAGTGAACTGAGAATTCGAAATTCAACGACTACCCGCAGCAAAGAACTTGGCAGCACAGAAGTAGATGATTCTCGAGCCATGTTTACCACTTCTTTCTGCGGTTTACCCATACTATGCGCTCCCGTTGTGTACGATACCAAGCATGCCAGCTTCAACTATTGAGCGGTGCGGACTGTGATGTTTCCTTACTTCCGATGCTCTTCCCGTGTTACTTACTATACTCGACACTTCAGCTTCAACTGCTGAATGCGGCAGACTGTATTGGGTTTTGACGCCTAGTTGTCGCATCTCATCATATCGCGTTCTGTTTTGTATTATTTAGACTCAGGCTTGCGTTCGTCAAATAATTGCTATTCATTCTTATCTTCGATAATGAGAACTCAGGAACTGTCTTGGTATGCATCATTGCTGAGGCGGACGGGTATGTACGCCACCTGCGGGAGTAAGTCGTGTACAGAGACCGTGGTACAGATAAATCATCTAAGAGGCAATCACAGCACTGGACCATTGTCTCGACGAAGGGGAAGATATAAGACAGAACAACAAGTCGAGGTCCAAGTGATACGTCGAAATGAAAAGTTGAATGAGAAATACAACGGCGGTACAGGAGCGGTCACAAATAACAGATATGTAAATGGCAAGCACATCTCCCGGACTCCGAGTATAATATTAAAAGAGGAATGTGACATACCCAGCAGGCGCTTGCACTTCGTAAGGTTTCGTGCATAGAATTTCAACCCAGAGCATTGGATGCACACGTTCGTCCGAGTCGATGAGCCAAACTTGAAGTGCCATGCCGGTGAGGTCGACGGCAAGGCTTTTGACCACATGCTTGCCTCCGGGAACATCTTTGCAGACACTTGTGATATGACATAGATTTTGAACACCTGAGAACCAGCCCAGCAACCTCATGGTAGGCGTTTTGGCTGCAGTCAAAATGTCAATTGAAATGATTCTGAGGACGGGACATGCCAATGAGTGATAGGTCCAACTAGAGGTTATGGCAGTACTTCCTCGTAATTACTTGGTAGAAGTCTGGTGAATTATGTAAAGTTCCTCTTTGCCTTATTAGGCGCCGCTTATCTGAACCATGTTTCTCGCGCTTGCGGTTGTACATTTGAATTCTAAACATTCTTTTGAAGGCAAGGTGTATTTGGATTCGGTTTGTGCATGGAGGTGCCAGGGCGTCCAAAGTTGCTTTGAACCCTGAGCCGCCCAGTAATTCATTCACTATGCTCTTCGACTGGATTCACTGTTGACGTCATCAGTATCTTGATGTTCATCAATAGATTCAATGGTGCATTGTGTCTCTACCAAAGATTCTGCATGCAATGATTATATCCGCTCTGCGGGACTTCAAGGTAAGTTGGTTCGACAAATTTCAAACACTGCCAAATCTGACTTGGACATGCAGTTCTGTTCCATTTGTAGTCTGGCAGCATCTTCATTCTCGAGTCTGAGGATCGCATCTTTCAACTACATTTGCCCGAACGCCTCATTAATGTCCCCAAAATGGACTGAGGGTTTTTGGCGCGTAGTCGCCGGTACCCATTCCATAGTTGATGACTTAATTTCGATCGTCCATCATGGCACTTCCTTGAAACAGTCAAGGTAAGCTCAAAGTTCGCGTTGGCGATGATTCAGCGATAGATCCATTTTCGTTCAAAGATGTGTCCGTCACCGACGGTGGTCTCAATACTGTCGCATTCCTCGAAGGTGGCGATGGTGTCGTTCGCATGCTTAGTGCGTATCACTACACCATTCACTGCATCATCTGATCGATAATTTTAGAGAAACTCACTAGCCTTATGAACTCCGTTGGCTCTGGCGCATTCCCACCCGTCATCAACGACATCTGGGGTAATATCACAGTGGGCGTCTCCACGCAAGCGATCAACGATCAAACTACTCATCCAACTCTTCTATCAGAAAGTTCGTGCACGATACGATGCGTAGCTCCGACTTTGCGGGTATCACGCGTCATCAAGTCCAAAAACAGGTAAAATGTGTCTTGTGCTGTCATCAACGTTCATCAACGGTGATCAGTGCACTTCAAGCAGCATCCATTCTACCACCATGGGGTACGTCTTGATATTTTATTTATGTATGTACATCTTGCCGACTAACAGATAATTTACAGCAGTCTCGCTATCATTAGAGGAAGTTGCAGTTATAGTAATGCCAACCCGGCATGCGCGATACTGTGACGACTGGCGTTGCTGGTGACTAGCTAACCATCACAGCAGTTTTCGAAGATCGGTCCTGGGCTAATTTTACATTCCTTTGTACCAAATCCGATAGTTTTAGTCTTACTGTTGAGCTTGCTCTCAGCTGAGGAAACAGATTCCTGCAGCAGGCCTCGACGAGGTCATCAGGCTTCACCCCGGTCATTCTAACAGATCTATATCCGTTCTATGACAAGCGATCCACATCTCAGCTTCTTGCTTCTCGACCACACGAACCTTCGCTCGTCTATTCACCGGTACTTCTCCGTAGATACTAGCATACGACTCGCTACTCGCTACCATCCTTGATGAGAATCCCCATGGCTGTGTACGGCACAACCAGTCTAGTGGTCGTGCTGTTAGTTACCGGACCATATGATATCTTCCTTCTATTATAATTCTCGACTGTGCATGCGATACTTGTGTCGTTGCTACCACTGCATCCTCGATGAATCACGGCCCTAGTATACATGTCCAGTGCAGTGCAGCGGCATCATATGTAGCTCGATGATCGCGATCTGCCATGAAATTGGAGATCTCCGCACACGCTCAACAACTCGAATCACCCGCTCGAACCAAGGATAACAATAACATACTCTAAAAAATTCATTTTTACAAAAGATACTAGCTTACAAGTATAAACACGACATATCTACAATAATAAGCTCATACGATATCTCTTAAAATCACCCCCGTCTCCAACTTCCAACCCCAAGCATCTAAATACCACGAGATTCAAGACGGCTGCGGAAGATCTTCTGGAATTGAGGAACGTGGTCAAAGTCCATGAGCGTGTAATGTTGTCCAGGCACGTCCGTATATGTGGCCTGGCCGCGGCTGAAACCGTCCCATGGCTTGAGTTGCTTGTTAAGCCAATCAGCTTTGGTTCCCTTCAGCGGGATGGCGTAGAAGACATCAAGAGCAGCTTGACACAATCAATCGTCAGCGAGAGCATAAAACTAGAAGCAATCGCAACTCACAGACTGAACCACCCGGGTTGTAATCCTTGCCGCACTCAATGAGCGAGCCAGCAATGTCGACCCAGTGATCAAGCTTCTGTTGCGTGAGCTGGAGCTCAATAAGACGTTCGGGAGGTGACAGCTTCCAGACCACCTCCAGTTGTTCCTTGCGCGAGAGAGGTCTCAAAGCGGGCGCGAGCTCATTGGCATCTTGCTTTGTCACAAGACCGAGGAAATATGACAGATTGAGCATGCCACCAGTCCAGTCAATCTCGTGCATGCGGTCCGCGATGTGAGGGGGGATGTTGATCAGGCCGACGAATTTCACTTCATCGCCCATGGCCTCCAGGCGCTTGGCGACCTCAAAGGCGACAACACCACCGTAACTGTAACCAGAGATGGCATAAGGACCGGTGGGTTGAGTCCTCTTCACTGCAGCGGCGTAGGTCGACACCATCTCGTCCATAGAGGTAAAGAAAGGGGTGACCTGGCTCAAAGCCACGAGCACGAAGAGCATAGAAGGGACGCTCATTCTGGAAGTACTTGGCGAGGTTGACGAAAATAAGGACCTCAGCCGACACCAGGGTGGACGAAGAAGATCGGTGTCTTGTCACCTGTGAGCTGCAAGGGAACGATGGGGTCGTATTCCTCAGCGGTACCATCTTTTGAAAGAAGAGTGTTGACATAATTCGCCAAGCTGGAAATGACGGGGTGCTTGAGGATCTGGATAGTTGGTATCTCGGGCAAACCAAAGTGTGCTTCACCCTCGCGCTTGAGTCTGATAGAGAGAAACGTGAGAGGGATTCATGACTGAGATATCCTGTATTGCTTACCTGATGACATCGATAGAGGTACCGCCAAGCTCGAAGAAGTTGTCGCTTGCTGACATTTCGCTCTCGCTCAGGTTGAAGATCCCAGCGTAAATTTTTGCAAGAGCTTGCTCGGCCTCCGTGGAAGGGGCGACAAATGAAGAGCCCCGAGCCTCGCTGAGAAGCTCCTCAGCACGAGCGATGTGCTTGGCAAGTTCCCCTTGTTTGAAGAGGCTGACAAGGCGAGCCCTCGAGAGCTTTCCAAGAGTAGTCTTTTCCATCTGGTTGATGGGAATGGGGACGATGAATTGAGGAGGAAGGGTGATCATTTTGACACAGATATCACGGAGGGCGCGGTGGGTAGCAAACAGTTTCGTGGAAGCATCTTCTGCGGCAAGGTCGAAAGTAGGAGAGTAGAAGATAATGAAACCTTCAGTCTCTTGTCCGGGTGCACGGTAGGGAGCAGCAGCAAGGAAAGAATGCGTGACACCCTCGACAGTCTGGAGGTGCGTCTCAAGCTCGGGAATACCATATGACACACCGTGGACGATAACAGTGTCTTTGATGCGGCCACTAAGACGTAGAACACCGTCTTCGATAATGCCGACATCACCGGTGCGGTACCAACCATCAACAAAGCTAGAAGATGTGGCCTCCGCGTTGTTGTAGTAACGAACGAAGACCATGGGGCCACGGACTTGCAGCTCACCACTCTCCCCATCCCTGCGGATCGTCTTGCCATCTTCAGGGTCAACAATACGCATCTCACAACCGCGTACAGGGTGACCCAAGTCGAGGAACTCGTGTTTCGGTTCAGTAGTGCTGAGGTCCACCGGTTGATAGATACATCCGGCACTAAAATTACGATTAATGAGTTTAATGTTTCGATGTATGCTAAAAATAACCCACCAAGTCTCGGTCATACCAAATCCAGGTGAAATTACGAAAGAAACCTTAAGAGGGTCTTTTGCAAGTTGCTTAAGAACAGCTACAAATGATTGAGCAGTCTTCGAGATGACAGCCTCCCCTCCGCTGTTAATGCGCTTGATGGAAGAAAGGTCGAAAGTTCCAAAGAGATCGGTCCTCTTCTCCAAGTCTCGTGTGAGTTTCGCAAGCAAGAAGTTAGGGCTGAATGCAACGTTGATGGACTTCTCGTCGATCAAACGGAGGAAACGAAGCGGGTCGGAGAGAATAGCAGATGCATGGACATGAATTTGAGAGGCCCCAAACAACAAGGGTGTGATGTGCATTTCCAAGGAACCCGCGACATGGTCGAATCCGACCCCTGCAAAGATATCAATATTGGTAACAATAATTAAAACGATGACTTACAGTTAAGTACGTTGGTCTTTGGAGTCAAACCATAAGCCTCTCCTTTGGCAGAGCAAGCAGCCAAAATAGTGCGATGGCTGTGGACAACTGCTTTGGAAAAGCCAGTCGATCCAGAAGTTAAGAATAATATTGCCTCATCATCGGGCTGGGGGTTACTGGCGACCCAGTCGGCAGAAACGTGGTATTTCGAAGCTGACGCCTTGAGCTCCGAAAGAAGGTTAATCTCCAGACCGCTGATGGAGTTCACCTGCTCAGCACCGGACTCATTAGTGAGCCAGATGGCAGACGAGAACAAATTTTTGATATGAGCGACATGGCCCTCCTTGTGGGCCTGCTGGGCACTGAGCGCGGGTTGCAAGCATGGAACATAGCCTGCGAGGAGACACGCCCAAACAGCGGCCATGTTATCCTCGTGCTCGGTCAGGTAGACGACGATGACTGAACCAGCAGGCTTTTCCCAATCGAGCATGGCGCGAGCGAGGTTGCGCACATACTGGTTGAATGAGCTGAATGTAGTCGCTCGAATGGAAGAGTCGTGAGCGGAAGATGTGATGAATGAGAGCTCGTGCGAAGGATATTGCTCAGTAGCTTGAGAGAGAACGTCGTGGAGGGTGAGTGCTGCCGACATTGTGATGTTAATCTATGGTTTACGAGTGATTAGATATATAAGTTGATATGCTCTATGAAGAAGAGTGGGAAAGATTGAAAACGAGAAGCTGCTGGTTGATGGCAATCGAAGAATTCTGGAGATCCTTTTTATGCAAGAAAAGACGATGGAGCGACATTAGGGCGCTGGAGCAATTGAGAGACCGTAGCCGATGGTTTCAAGCTAGCGGTTGTATAGTGACATGAAACTAGTACAAAATAGCGAATAGGCTTGCGCAGGACGACATGAAAACAGGCCGATCCGGGATGATCGCAGACGATGAATCATCTTGGCGGCCCACGCATTTGCGCCATTAGGATTGACACATCTTCTTCCTATGGATGCACTTCGTTCAAGGTAAATAAATTGCAGAGCACGGCTTTCATAGTTCGAAGGCTGAGCATGACTCGGATCTATCAAGTTAGTTCGAGCACAGCAACGCGATTAGTCTAGTACCGTATCATTGAGCGCGAGTTCAAGATTGCTCCAGTAGGCTAACCTGTTAATGACCTTGACGTGTAGGGTGGACCGCTGCAATATGCAGTGAAATTTACGCCTGAGTTATTGCAATTGCGCTGATGGGGGGGCTGAAAATCTGGCAGACTAGAACAGTTTGGCCAAAACGGTATACACGGTATTGGCAAGAACCGTCGACCCATGAGGGATGGTCAAGAAGCGGTGACAGATCTCAGAAACAGAACTCTCTTACAGTACTAGGTCTGCCAAGAGTGAACGTTGACTAGTAACAATCCCGTGACCATGATACCATGTGACAATTACCCTGTCCTCAACTTGGCAAGACAAATTATCACCGCCTAGAGTGTGAGTCTCGCCTCATGAGGGCAGCCGAGTCCGCATCAGCTTCAACATCGAGCCAAAATTCGGGATACCTCGTCTTCAAGGCCATAGACAATACCGGTGCGTTCTTCAATCTCATCAACGGCGCTGGCAAACCACGAACAAGTTCTTCGATGAGCTCTCCTACGAGATTGGCGGGGTTATGCAAAGGACAGGTTTGATGTAGGATTCGGGAAATGAGCGCTGAGCTCTGAGGATGGGCCGTCTTTGCAAGTTGTTGCTTTCGGCATAGAAGGATGCCGAAACGTTGCTATTTTCAAAAATGTCGCACACTTGTCAGACTAGTTACTCTGCCTCATACATAAAAGGTTAGTTATCGCCAATCGATACCGGTACCATCACCATGCGTGCATTTTACTTCGATAACGTCCCAGGCGACCAGCGCCTGCTCCACGATTCCGGAAATCCTGTATCAGACGAGATCTTGAAATCCATCGGAGTACTACACTGGCACATCCCAACGAGCCAACAGAACCAAATCGATGCTATTGCAGAGGAAAGAAGTTACAAGAACAGAGACACTATCACGATCACTAAGGAGGGCCTTGGAGATTTATACGAGGCAAAGTTAAAGAGCTTCTTTGAAGAGTACGCTCGGCTTTCACAAACTCGCGTCTTTACTCGGCGATAACTTCAATATCAGGCACATGCATGAAGACGAGGAGATTAGATATATTCTCGAGGGTAGCGGCTTTTTCGATGTTCGAGGTGAGTAGATAATCATACATTCCATGCCATACGCTAATGGCTCGTCGTCTAGAACATCCCTCAGATTCATGGATTCGTTGTCAGTTAGACGCGGGTGATCTTTTGGTTCTCCCTGCTGGCATCTACCATCGATTCACTCTTGACGAGAGTAACATGATCAAAGCTTTGCGTCTCTTCAAGGTTCGTACATGCCGTTTTTTTGACTTGTGGGCTTCACAAGAAACCTTTACAGGATGAGCCCAAGTGGACTCCTATCAACCGCGGCAACTCGACAGATGTGAACCCTTACCGTGTCGATTATTTGAAGACTCTAGCTGTCAACTGATTGAAGCCGGAATAGTGCAAACTCTGTGGAATCGTTCCCGTGAGAAGGTATCCAAGGGCATATAAGGGTCTATGTAAAGGGGGATCGTGTAACGATATGAGTGGAAGTATCATATATCATCATCATCATCATTACTGACAAGAAGATCGATGAGTCACATGGTGTGAAATTAAGCAAGTCAGCTCGTCGTCGACTGTGAATTTTCAATTTCCTCAGGCTGTTCTCTTCTAATCTGACAGTTGTCCAGGTGCCGGTCTACGAGCGCTAGATGTACCGAAATATGTATTTCGCTCACGACCGCAGGCTTAATTTTCAACTGCCCTTCTTAGCGTAGGTGCGTTTGAGTCTACGAATTTGTCCTATGAGGTCGTGAGGCAGCGGCAGTAACTGGGACAGATATTGGATAAGTGGGACGGCGGCAGTCAAGAAGTCCCACTGGAGACAGCGAAGGTCTCGTCATTTTCTGTCGATGACCACGAAACGACCCCAACATCGAGTGGATCTACGAGATCGACCTTGCTCGCAACGTTTTAGACGTCAACGGATCATTCTAGCTGATGAGGAGGCTTTTCTCGCTGATAGAATAACGTTCCGACCATCACTGACACATAATTTCAAAAGGGGGTTACGAGAAATTGTGACCTGTACATGTGCAAGAGACCAGGGCCGCTAGTTTTGGGCGATTATGACCTCGCAACGTACTTATCAATGTTATCATTAGCGTTTGCAGGTACTCAAGTGGGTTTGCGCGACATCAGCTAGTGACGTCTTATCTCCAAACGAACAGGTTCAGGTTTGTTGTTAGAGACGATGACTGAGCAGTGCATTATTAGCGTGTCGGTTGAAAAAACACTAGACCATCCCGCGATCGCGTATCTATGGTGAAAAGATACATGATCATGCTGTCGATGAGTCCGGAGCCATTGCCAAGCGAGGAGTTAATTATTTAATTACTTAATAGGGGAGACAAGCTTATCTCACCAATATAAGTATTGCTTTTAGAAATGTTTGAACTTTGAATCCTGATAATAATTCATATGTTGCCCGGACTCGCAATTCTTCTCTGTGTGCAGCCTGCAAGTGATGGGCTCGCTGCTCTCCTCGATCCCAACATTGGATTTCCACCTAGGCTACGATAATTGTGTCGTACCAGCGTATCAAATGTCTTGTCATTAGAGCGAGCGCACCTCACCAGTTATCAATATAACATAGGCAGAGAATAGCGCGTCTTCTGACGTCTCTCAGGAGGAACTGGGCGTATTACGCATGGAGGCCAATACGTGAGGTCTTCTGCAGGTTGCAATGTCGTGAGTTGACGCGTCTTGTTGTTGGTTCTTAACTCGTGACTGCGGCAGTGCCAACAAAACCGAACCAGACTCAACTACACGTCCATCCCCGCACATTACTTGGAATTCACTTCCAGAAGCAGGATACTGGAAGTTTACGAACCATAATGTTGAGCACTCTGTGCACAGGTTCAGGAATCAGAGATTTTTTTTTGGTAAAAGAGCTAGATCCTGATGCCATGAGCGGAGGGATGGGCGATCATATTAGCACTGCCAGCAGCTGATGACGATGTGAGTCAAATAATAACCTGTTGAAGCACCGACTTGCAGGCAATCATGCACAGGAGTCTAAGAAGAGCCTCGCACAAGCGCTCTATTCATTTGTTCGTGCTGTGGAGGTGCTTCTGCACGAACTGGCCTCCATCGACCAGCACGAGGAACCAGTCATTCCATACTTCACTACAGACAGTTTCTCGCGATCCGGGACCGTCTTGACCATGTGACGGAGTGTCAGAGTCTAAAGGTGTTAATAATGAACCGGGACACAAGGTCGCTTGGTTAAGCGACTACAAGGGACTTATCGACCAGGCCTACGACGCCGTCGTGAAATTACTCACCTTTGATTGGATGGTTCCGGATGAGACAGGAGATCGCCGTTTCCGCGAGCTAACTCGCGCTCGGCAGATATATGTCCCCGAGCTTATACTGCGGCAGCATATCATGCTATACGCCTCCCAAGAGTGTGTCCCAGAATAAGCATGCCTTCGTTTACAGTACTTGCAGTTCTAATACATTTAGGACAGGAATTTGAAGCGTGCATTGGAGCTTGCCAACATCGTTGCAGATTCGACGTACAAGCTGTGTGATGATTTCTTGCATCTCGATAGGCAAAGGCTCGGTAAGTCCTTGATGATGTGCGCCTGGCCACAATAGCTAGCTTGCAAGGAGATGATTTGGATCCGTTCAGGGTTGTTCTATCACCTTCTACATAGGTTTGTTCTCTATCTTTAGGCGACGCTTTTGCTGTAATTATGACTTTGTTGATGGGCTCCCAGGTTGTGGCTCGTCCCCATTTTATTCACGAGACTGGCCGCAACACAATTACGCCAGGCTTATATTCATGCAGGGCAGAGCAATATGTCCGAGTCAAGTTTTCAAGTATCTATTTGAACACAACATTAATCAATGGTGCAAGAGGCTCGTTCAATCCGATCGGCGACGAGTTGGATTTTAATGGCAAGACGCCGCTATCGATGACATGATCAATCCCAGTAAACTTGAAAGTTAAAAATACGGGTTTCCAGATATACTATAGCTGTGGTTAGGCTGTAGCACTTCGTATTGCGATTGGTGTCGAGCAAGATCATCATTGGAACTAGAAACAATATTTCGATTTACATGAATATTCCGTTACATATGACAATTTACAGTACACAAGAATTTTGCTCGAGAAAGGATCTGATAATGTTGATCAATATACGCGTCTGACCATTGTCTAATGAATAAAACATACCAGTTACGCTCGATAGGCACCCAAATTTGATTGGCGCCATGCCACCTGGACCAAAGTTGAATTGGTGTGCCTTCTGTCGCATTTCCCTTGTCTGACAGGTCCACGCTGAATTTTTTGCCATGGAGCAACATCCTGCCGATGGAGTGGAATCAATCAATCCATATGCCATAAGAAAGGGATGCACACCTAATGCCTTGAGCACCTTCGACGTCAGAGTCTCTGACGTCCCATTTGCAAGGGGACGGGACAGCGACAATCCTGGAGCCATTGCCGGCGTCGTCTACATCGCCTTCGATCCCAAGATATTTATCAGTCCCGACGGACTTGATGAACCAGCCATCGCCATTCTCTTGGAAGATCCACTGCGAACAACGCGGCTTCGTCAGTGCAACCCTTCTGCAAGGCGATGATTAGCACATTACCGCCTGGTTAGGACCATTGTGGTCGTGGTAACCGATGACTACAGGTGAACCCAACGTCAGCGCTGACTTAGATAAATGTTAGAGCAAAGACGATGCCTACTGGAGTAATTGTCTGCACCAGAGAGGTCGAGGACAGTGCCTGCCTGACAGTTTCTGAGTGTGTAAATGCGTTGGTTCTGAATGCAAGCCATGGTGGTGCGTGGTTATCATGAAATGCTGCCAACAGCCTTGTATTTATACCTGGCAGACTGGCAATACGTCAAGGGCATGAATCTCGACCCCCTCAGATCGCCAAGCTCCGTGTATTCAATCACGAATCAAGCTCATTCAATCCGATGAGTTGGAGTTTATCAGCAAGACGCCGCTATCGATGGCACTATGACGAAAGATCAGTGATCAGACAGGGGTAGAATCTTGCGCCTCGGGGGAAGAAAGGAGCCAGGCCCCCACGTGCATGTTCACGCTAAGTTGGAGAACCGAAATAATATTAGAGAACTTATTGGCAGATATGATCTCCAGTAGAATATCCAAGGCGCGTAAGTATTGACATCAGGAAAACAACAGATCTCTTGTTTGCACTTGATTAACTTATTGTCACTTATATACAACAAATCATGAAATCTCCTGGTTTTTTTGTACCCAACTCACAGACACAAGAGCTTTTAAATCACCTCCACCGATCATACAAGGGACTTGCAGAGCATGAGCAAGATCATCATTGAAACTAGAAACAATATTTCGGTTTACATGAATATTCCGTTATATATGACAATTTACAATACACAAAAATTTCGATAGAGAAAGGATCTGATAATGTTGATCAATACATACGCGTCTACTGACCGTTGTCTAACGAATCAGACATACCATTGACGCGGGACAGTCATCCAAATTTGATTGGCGCCTTGCCACCTGGACCAAAGTTGAATTGGTGTGCCATCTGTCGCATTTCCCTTGTCTGACAGGTCCACGCTGAATTTTTTGCCATGGAGCAATATCCTGCCGAGGGGGTGAAATGAGTCAATCCATACCAAACATTTGCCATAAGAAAGGCTTGCACACCTAATGCCTTGAGCACCTTCGACGTCAGAGTCTTGGATGTCCCATTTGCAAGGGGACGGGACAGCGACAATCCTGGAGCCATTTCCGGCGTCGTCTACATCGCCTTCGATCCCAAGATATTTATCAGTCTCGTTGGACTTGATGAACCAGCCATCACCATTGTCTTGGAAGATCCACTGCGAACAGCGCAGCTTCGTCAGTGCGACTCTTCTGCAACGTGATATCAATATATTACCGCCTGGTTGGGACCATTGTTGTCGTGGTAACCGATGACTACAGGTGAACCCAACGTCAGCGCTGACTTAGATAGACTAGAGGCTAGATGATGCCTACTGGAGTAATTGTCTGCGCCAGAGAGGTCGAGGACAGTACCTCCCTGACAGTTTCGAAGGGTGTAAATGTGTTGGTTCTTGATGCAAGCCATGGTGGTGCGTGGTTATCGTGGAATGCTGCCAACAGCCTTGTATTTATACCTGGCAGAGAACTGGCAATACGTCAAGGGGCATGAATCTCGACCCCCTCAGATCGCCAAGCTCCGTGTATTCAATCACGAATCAAGCTCATTCAATCCGATGAGTTGGAGTTTATCAGCAAGACGCCGCTAACTATGACGAGAGAGTGATCAGACAGGGGTAGAATCTTGCGCCTCGGGGAAGAAAGGAGCCAGGCCCCCACGTGCATGTTCACGCTAAGTTGGAGAACCGAAATAATATTAGAGAACTTATTGGCAGTCAACGATCATCGATATGATCTCCAGTAGAATATCCAAGGCGCGTAAGTATTGATGAGATCCTATATATACAACAAATCATGAAGTCTCCTAGTTTTTTTTGTACCCAACTCACATACACAAGAGCTTTTAAATCACCTCCACCGATCATACAAGGGACTTGCAGAGCATGCCCTCAAGCCGGCAATACTCGGGCACAATAGCAGCGTACGTCATGAACGCATCTACGTCTGCCTCAGCGACCTTCGCTAATCCAATCTGTGCCTCGGCATCGGAAGTGGGCAAGGCAGTCACAGGGGTCAGGGTGGTTGTTTGTGGCACGACAGCTCCAACTCCACCACCGGGACTCCCTGCGCCTGCATTAAGATCAGGAGTCGTGAATGCAGTCGAGGGTCCGATAGATCCACTGCTCGTCACAGTATCAAGCGTAGAACCTGTGAGGGTTCTCATGCGGCCAATGTCCCGGCCAAGATCCCTGTCTGCAAATCCACCTGCAAACACTGAAGAAGAGAGTATACCGCTTGCACGTTCCATCTCCTCTACTTCTTCTTCTTCTTCCTCGACAAATACAGTGGAGCCTAGTCCCGAGCGATGGCCATAGGGGGTGCTAGTACCGCTATTGGCTCCACTGCCTCCGTTCCCGCCCAAAGGAGCATTCACATTAGTCCGCAGTGGAGTACCACCGCTTGCGACCCAGCGTTTTCCATGCAGCCTCCTAATCTCCTCCTCAAATCCACCGAGCCCTCGACCGGTACTCGACCCACCAATAGCAGAACTACGCTCCTTTCCCCATATCCACCGTGCGAAATAAGCACCTCCTAGTGACGCACGACCAGGGAAGCCAGCAGCAGGTGCATTACGGTGGGGCACTACTTGGGCAGAATCAACTTGGGTGCTAGGCATGAACACGGGTGCGTTGAACACATCGCCCGCAAGATTTGCAACGGAGGGGAAGTTGGCAGCTGCGCCAGTGACGAGTATTCTTGCAGGAAGCGGAGAATAATCATACGGATCAAAGGAGAGTCCAAGGCTAGATGCGATGTTTGAACGGGGATTCTGCCCTTGTGGCGATGTAGGACCAGGGGTCTGGGCAACGTTCCCCCGAGACCGGTTGATATTCGAACCAAGAACACCAGTGGCAATCATCCTTGACCACCGAAAGCGGAATGAGAGGACTTGGCTCTCTAGAAGACACCGAGGGTTTGCACGAAGGTCTCGGAATTCGTTGACTTTGATACCGGTCTCAAAACGATAGATGCCTTTGACGTGTGATAGTGGGTAGCTGTCGCCCTGCAGAAGCCAAAAACTGAAGAGCTTATCATCGAGACTGAAAAGAATTTCAGAGGAATAAGATAAACATTCATTTACATGAACTTACCCTATGGATCCACCAGGTGGCACGATGGCAACTAGCCGATCAAACGCACTCCAGCTCTTCGTATACATGTCTCTTACAAGAGCACGCGGAACGTCAGCATTCCTGCAAGCAAATATGAAAACCTGTGCAAGGTGTGAGGTCATGTGATGGCACACCTGCTACTCAACATGGCGATGTATCGTCGCTTTTCGCTAGCATCCTGGGCAGGATGGGGGAATAGGCTGTAAAGTCGAGTTGGTAGGTAGTATTGCGCAGGAGTAAGAAGGGTATCCATTGGTCCAAATGAAAGCACTGCATCTCCAGGAGATGGACAGAGAGATAGGTATGAGGAAAGGTAATCAGAAGTGAAGGGAGTGACGATCGTATCTGCAAATTCATCAGTGGGTGTTACGTATATCGTACCAAATGAATCTCACCGGGTTCAAATCCGTATCGTTCACATAGGAATCGCGAGATATGGGCCGATTTTCTCCCACCAGCGACCTCCACGTCGCCTAACCATGTTCGGATTCTCCGACCTTCTTCCCGGCTCCCACCTATGATTTCCAAAACACCTTCGTCCCAGCGGCCCACTCCAGGCGAACCTTGTGCGCTAGCGCCAGCACTGGCATGTACCCACATACCAGTCGCGCAGGCCTCGGACTCTCCCATATTTACCCACTCGCCCACGACCATACTTGCAAGGAATTGGCTGGCAAGCTGTATCTTCCCCGTTCGTGACCAGACATCAGATGTCCACGATTCACGAACTCGGAGGAGTTGAGCAGCTAAGAGTGATGCGTTAGCGCACGTGCCGACGCGAGCGGCCATGAGGTCTGGCCCCCCAAGCAGGGCTTCGAGGGCGAGGGCATGGGTGTGTGCGGACGTATCCTGAGCAACTGGTGTATTCGGTAATGAGAAAGTATTGGGAAGAAGTTGAGAGTGAAACGGGAGTCGTGGGTCCAGTGCTGGAAATGAAGGAATGGGTGTCGATTTCCACCACACGAGAGCATGCTGTAAAATTTCATGTATCACATCAGGACGAAGTCTTCACAGCTTGATACGAGCAAGTCACCTGAGCACAACCACCGATTGATTTTATCCTCGTTACATCGTGATTCCTAGTCAATTTTTCCAGTAAAAAGTCTGTCGTCGCCAACAATTTAAAATCCGGGTTGTGTTTAGGGGGAAGTAAACAATGTTCCCGCGCACGTGTAAGTGATCGAACAAATACCCAAAAATCCAAATTGGTTAAGTCGAAGCAAAAAAAAATTGCTTCCGCCAGTTTACGCACCAAGAGCCTTGACCCACATATCTATTGGCGTGGTGTATGCATCTCCTGGAGTAGTGAAAATTCCTCCTTGAGTCCTATTAGGAATATTAGCTCTCCAATAAAATGACTCTAGACACGATGTGAAGAGAGCATGTCCCAATATTTGAGCATCCAAATCACGGACAGTGGGACATGGAAAAACAGAGCACGTACTGGTATTCAGGTAATTCCGTGTCAAAATCAACGCATTCTACCCCCACAAGCTCCAAACTCTCATCCACGATCGAAGCGCGCAATTGATCGGTAGCAAGTTCAAGTCCAAGAAATAGCGCAGGGCCTGTCTTTGGACCTGGTGCCATCGTTGACCGAATTAATTGAAGGTTCAATTAGGGATCGGAGGTCGTGATTGCGAATCTATGAGACGGAGAAGATGGTGGTATCGGGTATAACAAGCAGATGAGGATATATATTTTTTCTGGAAAAAGTTGCAGGCAGTTCGCCTGGCCCCGGTTGGCGACGATGGTCCTGTGGTCGTGAAGATGAAAAATAAGAAGAAAGCAGAGAGAAGACAATTATGAAACGATTCCAATGAATTCGATTCTCAGGCTCGCATTCGCTTGTCCAAGTGTAGGAGTATACATTGATCTGGACAGGCCGTTCCCACGCCTTTATGTTTATGTTCTCATGGCGGCCAGGCCGACGTCATTATTGCTACTCCTCGACGGACAGTAGGATCTCGCAATACGAGTAATTTTATTCTTAAAAACATACAACGCCTAGGATTTTTGTCACGAGTTCTAAAAAACCATTGGACGAATGGAATGGAATCATTTTGACTGTGCCTGGCACTGACTTTCGGCAAGTATGCCCGGGAGATGGCCAGCGAGCGATGAGTAGAAGTTTCATGTAAATTGGCCGGGGGATGATGATCACCGAATTTGGGCCAGCTCATTAGTACAATCAAGTCACCTATCACATTTGGAATGCTTGCATAGCTGAGCTCTGAATATCGTCATTTATGCAAGAAACGCGCAAGCAAAAAACAGACAATCAGAGGACTATCATGAAGTATAGGAATAAGCGGTAGATGAAGCGGCTCAAGTCAAGGAAACAGACCATGCAAATATCATTATCATGATCATCTAGCAAACCCATTTAAGAAGAGGTAGAACCGATGATTGCTGAAGAGGGAGTGGGCGACCCTTGCCTTCTGAATTAATACATCTGTGGGGCGGGTGGACCACTTATATTTGTAGACGCTAGCCGGATTTGATCGACTAGAACAGGTAGGACGGACGACGAGTTTCACAAGGAACGAGGCAGATAGTATGAAACTAGTCATGGCGATGCGTAAGGCTCCGGTGCGATATCTCGTGTCGGATGCTATGGTCTGTTGACAATATATTCAAAGGCAAGCAATTCCAGGGTACTCGGCGCGATGTGAGTATTTGTGCTTCTTAGATGTTCAATTGTGCATGCTTGCCAACGCGATAAATGAATGCGTCTTGACCGTGATGCGTCAGTCACGTGTATCCAAAATCAACCTATGATCAGGCGGAGTCTGCTGAGTGCCTCCTGCGCAATTGAAGTAGCCTTGGTAAATCCGTGATCTTGAAATCCTATGGTCAGGGAGCTATAGTGTACAAATTAAAACATGCGACAAAGGTGCAAGCAACGAGATCCATTGATCATTAATGTAATGTAGAAAAATTGGATGTGAGGAAACCCAGGGCACAACAAAACTATGCACATACAACCTGGTTCATCCATGCTCTACAGTGCTCCAAATCGTCCTGGTGAAAATGTTAGGTGGCTTTCCATCGGGCTGATTATAATGGACGACACACGTCACGTATTTGAAGAATGTCCGTTACATCCAGAATGACATTCTTCACCGCATCCATCGCCTTAGATACATACATCTGCCAGGGAGCTTGCTTGGTGGTGTTTTCTAACGTGCAAGTTGACGACGCAGGGCAACGACACCCAGAGTTCCGTTGGAAACGCCATGGCCGTGTTTCCATATCTACTCCAGCTTTGTAATGGTGAGCGATGGCGATGATGAGACCGTCGAGCAGGGCAGAGGCGGTTAGCAGCGAAACAGGAAACTGTAGGACGTCAGGTTCTGGAGTGTGGTCAGAAAATGCTAACGCTATAAAATGACCAATAGGGGATACCTATCAAGGCTTCAAACAGCCTGTTCCATATTTCAACTTGGGCAGATTTCCAGCCATCCTTCACAGA